TGATAACAAATCACGAAGAGAAATTATGTGTATCCATTAATAATTCTTGCAAATTTTTAATACTAATGTTCCAAAACAAAGTTTTTATTTTAATTTTAGCAACTGCAACTATTACATGAAAAGAAATTTCCCCAAACTTTAAAATGTAGAGACCACAAGATATTGCACAGGTTTGTTTCACCGAATTTGTTAAAATGTAGCCCAATAACAGACTGCACATCTATCGGAACCTCTCGTGTATAGGTCTGAAGCTAGTTTAAACTAATCAGTAGAAAATACCACCGAAAACAAGCAAATAATACACAAATACCATAGACTGGAAAACCTCTATCAATGGTTAGAACCAGCTTGAGTAGTTGAAGACTTACAGCTTCAAATTGATTAAATTATTTCCAATTGACCGAAATATCATTCCAATGTGGATTCACTGTATTTTGATCGCTGGCTCAAGACAACGAGAAGCTTTCGATACAACATTATTATTTAAAGCAATTAGTCCCTTTTATAAATTTCGATAGAACAATGAGAAGACGTAGTTGATCTGAAAAATGTGATGTATTTGCGCTATACATTTCGAACAATCTGGTCACACATATACTTGTCAAGGCATTTTTATATGAAAATTAATAAAGGTCAATAAAGGTCAAACAAACAAATAAAAGTACAACTAAAATAACTAAGGGGGGGAAGAATAAGAAATTGTCGCGTTATCCTAGGCCATAGAATGACTTAAGGATTACCAAGGTAAATTCAAGGTTACGACAAATTGTTTTTGTACACATAAGGGGGGTTTAAATTTACGAATAGCTAAGGCTTCAATAAACTTAAGAATTCGACCTTGACAATTTCTATACAACATTCTAAATGCTGTATTAATGTTAACTTTGTGCCCCGTCTCAATAATGTGTTTTGCTATCGATGAACATGGTTTTCTACCGCCTACATTGATCGGATCATTTGACACACACTGATTTTGAAGCCATCTGGGTACATGTTCATTGACCCTTGATTGCATTGTTCGATTACTCCTCCCTATGTATGTGTGTCCACACAAACATGTAAATTGGTAAATACAATGGGATGTGACGTAATCATTAATGCCAAGACCTCTAATTTATTCAGTGCCAAAGAAAAAGGTTTACATCAATCTACCATATAGAGGCGAATCAAATAGTATAGTTTTAAGGCACAGATTGAAAGCAGCCATTGAGAATACGTATTATGCTGCTCAGTTGGTAGTGATTGAAAAGTCTAAGGCCATGATTCATAATAGACCCAAACAATGCACTAATGATTACGTCACATCCCATTGTATTTACCAATTTACATGTTTGTGTGGACACACATACATAGGGAGGAGTAATCGAACAATGCAATCAAGGGTCAATGAACATGTACCCAGATGGCTTCAAAATCAGTGTGTGTCAAATGATCCGATCAATGTAGGCGGTAGAAAACCATGTTCATCGATAGCAAAACACATTATTGAGACGGGGCACAAAGTTAACATTAATACAGCATTTAGAATGTTGTATAGAAATTGTCAAGGTCGAATTCTTAAGTTTATTGAAGCCTTAGCTATTCGTAAATTTAAACCCCCCTTATGTGTACAAAAACAATTTGTCGTAACCTTGAATTTACCTTGGTAATCCTTAAGTCATTCTATGGCCTAGGATAACGCGACAATTTCTTATTCTTCCCCCCCTTAGTTATTTTAGTTGTACTTTTATTTGTTTGTTTGACCTTTATTGACCTTTATTAATTTTCATATAAAAATGCCTTGACAAGTATATGTGTGACCAGATTGTTCGAAATGTATAGCGCAAATACATCACATTTTTCAGATCAACTACGTCTTCTCATTGTTCTATCGAAACATTATTATTGTTAAATTATTTAGTGCTGAGTTCTTAGAATATTAAACAAAGTCCTCCGTATCCTTTTTTACTTGAAGTAAGCACTAGTGACGTGGTGACAGAATTCTATTTTGATGTTAATTGATTGAAGGTGGTTAGCAATGTCGAGCAGCCTGGACCAGTGACTACACTGCAACTAAGAACTATATAAACAGACATTGAACACTAATCAGTGATCAATGAATGTAAATATCTCAGTCTCTTCAAAAACCAGCTATTGTGAGGATAGCTCAGTGGTAACATCTCAGACTGTGAAACTAGATGACGCATGTTCAACTACCACATGCAGTAACAGTCCCCTCAACATAGCGGGTAAATGTTGCTGACGAATTTTACCCGGCGTAAAACCTAGGTTCATGGTTTCCTACTGCCTACCATCTAATGCTAATTAACTTGATTTACAGATGATCATCAAAATATATACTATACCTTAATAATACTTTAAATGTTTTCTATTGGAAATGAAAATGCTTCAATTATTCAAACCAATACCTGTATTTTTCTCGAATTATTATTAAATAACTAACAGAAAAGAAAAAAAGTACACAAAAAAAGGCAATATTAGAAAACCATTATATACAAACAAGGAACTAAACAGTAAACAAATACAGACAAACTGAAAAAAATCCTAAGAAAATATTGGTAATAAAATAAAACAAGTAATAAATACTCGATTAATTAGAGATCAATATCTAGATGAAATGGATCATATAAGATTAGGAGAAAACTGTTTATTATATGTATACAGAAGCAGAGGCAAAAGTGAACTTGTGATATTCTTCAATTATCCACAGATGAAGAAATCGACTAAAATAGAAAAAAAAATTTACTCATATAAGTTACGTTGTTTTGTTGGTAAAGTAAATAAAAATACTCGGAAAAAGTAATTTTATTCTCGAAATACAAATATAAATAATAACTGATTATGATGAGAAAAGCCACGTAATCTGTAACAAATGTCAGTAAACTAGACAACTTATAGAAATGCCTTTAATATTTTATAGTTCAATATACTATTACAGTGATTCGAGATAAGAATTCCTTAATATCATATCAGAATACGATTTCAATGATTGTGTTTATTTGAACTTGAAACTGAACCCGTGTTATTATAAACGAATAATTCTTGATAAGATCAGTTCTTCAAACCCTTTATTAACAGGTATATTTTCCTTTCGGTTAATACTCTCGGTTACTGACTTATATGAATACAAAAATTTTGTTCTCTGGGGTTTGATTTAACCAATAATCCACACTTTCTAATGTTGTATATACTAATCTTTACAAAAAGGAATAAAGACTAGATAAGAAGCTTTATGCCAAGGCCTGAGTGACTATACTGAAAACACATACCAGTTTACAGATTGCTGCAGTGACTTAGGTGGGGATATGTGGGGGGTGGTTAACATTAGCTAGCTGAACCGCTAAACTGCGAACACTCATCCCTGGCCTACTAGTAGCTTTGAAGTAAATGGACTGAGTCATGTTGGTAGGTGTAGACTACCTGGTTGAGGACCGCGAGATGATAGCAACCGATGGTTAGAGACGCTGAATGACATGGCTCAAAATCGTTTGCAATGGCGCAGGTGCATCCACTCTTTGTGTTCTCCCAAATTTTGATCTCCTTATTCCTCCTTGTCTCTTTTTTTCTCTTCCCAAATTTACTTCAATGTATTATACTCTTTAAGTAACATCTCCAAACAATAATCTTCCCGATTACTGCTTATACTCTTATTACCTCTACCACTACGGGATTTGAATCGACCACTGCATCTCTGTGCTAATGTGGTGTGGCAACTCGGACTGATGTACGTACGTACGAAGTTCTACGTTGTTACTGACTGACTGACTTGAAACAATATATAATGTATACGGTTTAGTTGGAACAATACAAAAGCAATTTCATGAGAAACAATTTTTTTAAGAATGTAGCATTCCACTTCACGTGCACGATTCCCCAAAGAATATGAAAAACTACTTCAATGTAGAAACAGCCCCAAAGAAATAAGCAGTATTTTCAGTAAAATAAAAACAGAATGTCTTTAAGTTTCAAGAGTTCTATGTATTGCAGTACACAGTTGATTACATGATGCCTATTTTAACTATAAACAAACTTAAATGCAATGTATTAAACTACTACATGGAAGATGAATGATACTTATTTGCCGATATATTTCAATTATTATGAGTACAGCCATAAAAACTAGCTGACATTTAAAAAATATTCATAGGGAAAAGAATTTAACGACAGCCTTGTGGAAATGTTATAGGTTGAAAAGCTGGCAGTTATGAGCTTCTTAATTATAAGACTAACAAAGGTAGTTCCCAAGGTAGTTCAGAATATTAGCTTGAAACAATTAACAAGGTGACATTACTGAGATCACAAAGTTAGATATGCACACCATTGGATCCTGGATCAGTGGTCTAGAAGTTACGTGTTCGCAAACGAGATCAAAGGTACTGGGTTCGACTCCTGCCTGCGAAGTCGTGGATGAGAACTGCTGAAGATTTCCATGCCATGGAAAGGCAGCTACCAAATTCTTCCAGGTTCCCAATGGTCGTCTGAGTCAGGTCGGTTTGTAACATCATTAACACCCAACAATCACCACAATCTGTAATCTGATACCAGGATAATAGTTGAAATTTGTGCTCCGAACTTTTAAGCAGATGAATATGTAGAAAGTTCTACTTTTTACCAACAATTTATTACTTCAAATAGTTGGGAGATAGCTTGACTTATCTTAATCTTGGATCAACCTGTTACATGGATTATCTCATTCATTCTTTATGACAATCAGTTAAAACATTTTTTATTATTCTGGAATTCGTTACATTAGGTAAACACTATCGGTCGGTTTTACATAATCGAAAGACTTTTCATGAAAATCGTGCTGAAAAGTTTTGTAATATCACGGCTATAGTAAATTTATTATTACTATAGATTTAACTGATAGTCACACTTTTCCAACTTAGATATCACTTTTATTCCAAACAAATTGAGTTAGAAGAATTTTACTTATACCACGACAAAATTACTAACCTTTTATTAATTAGGGAAGAAAAAACAGTCGGAATTTTTTTGATTTACTGTTGGTAATTTGTATTTCCGGATGTAATTTTTTGAAACGGTGAAGCGGATGGGATTATTGACGTAACATTTGATGACACAGGTTGCTGTAGTTGAGTAGAGGCTTCATCAACAATATTGGAACAGTCCTGTGTTGCAGTATCATCTCCAGTAGAATTCGGAAGTGAAGAAGATAGATTAGTACATAAGTCATGATACTGAGAGAAGAACTCAAGAGTAGTTTGACTTAACTGAGGTTGATGGTGATGGTGATAATAATTTACAGGAGTAGATGGGTGTTTCGGTGATGTAAATGGAGTCGGAAACTTATGAGTAGTTAAACGAACAAGAAAGGCTTCCAATTGACTTAAAGTTAAAGCGTTATGTAGTGTTTCCAGGGGGTACACTTCTGGGACACATGGCGCACTGGGAACCAAAAATTCTTGAGAGCTTCCAGCTAGTAATCATAAAATTAGTAAATAAATTTAGATATAGTAGCTATAAAATGTTTGTGTGGATATTATTAGTAAAATTATTGATAACAATACTCTTTTAGAGTTTAGAAAGAAAATAAGCACGTAACTGCAGTTTAGGTCAAAGGTCATTTTAAGCTACTCGTCTATTCAATAAAAGATAAAGCGAGAGGAAAATAAAAAGAATGTTAAAGAAAAAATTCCGCATTAGGTTGTGAGGGATTTATTATTAATATGAAGTGTAGTAGCGAACCAAGAGAGCACTCTGAATTTATGTACTTTAGAGGAGGTAACTAATCCATTTACTTGTTAATCACTTAATGAAAGTTTGTTACATATACTAAAGTAAATTAACTCAACCATAAATCAGACATTTGTGTTTGTGATGAAATGTTATGTTATCCAACAAGGCTGTTTTAAGTGAGCGGGGAGCATAATTAAGATGTGAGACTAGATAAATGAAAATCAAATGCTTTAACTGTTACTATGTATGATATCCACGTGTATTATTGAACAAATACGGATATGATAACTAAAAACATTGTTGAATAATGGATTGAATGGGAACTTTGAAATCTTAAAATGATTTTTATAAGGAAGGGATACTAAATTTTGGTTTAAAATCTATTACTCAAACTAATTACTATTGATATTTATCCATTTTCAATAGGTCTTGAAATTCAAATAATTCAAACGACATTTAAACATGATATTGTGCTTCAATTTAGCTGGTTTCTAGTAGAAGTATCTATTGAAATCAAGAAAAAGTTAAAATTCGAAAAAAAATATTTACATACAATAGAAATATAAAAAAAAAACAACTGAAAGGGAACATACAACTTTCTCGTAAGTTACGGTAGATTAAAATGTGATGTGTTATCCACCATCTCTTATAGTTTGTTTGAAATACACGTTTTATAAATCATACGCACTATTAATAATCCTATGCAAACACAGATATTTAGAAGAAAATCACAGTAGAGTTGTCATTTAATTCATGTGTGAACGCGATTATGACTAATGTAAATTTAGATGACAAAAACACTCATTGTTCTTATCACTGTATGCACAACACCAATTTCTATCTAATAATCCATGGATGTAACTAGACAAACTGGACTTCGCAGATGACCTGGTCATTATATCCTATATACATGGAAAAATACAACTCAAGACAACTAGTGTGGCAAAAGCCTCTGCATCAGTAGACCTCAAACATACACAAAGGAAAAGCTAGATCCTCAAATACAGCACAGGAAACATCAACCCAATCACACTTGAACGAGAATCTCTGGAAGATGTGGAGACTCTGATGTGCCTGAATAGCATCATCGATGAACAAGGAGGATCTGATGCAGACGTAAAGGAGAGGGTCGACAAAGCTAGGGCAACATTACCACAACTCAAAAACATATGGGACTCAAAACAACTGTCAACCAGCATCAACGACAGCATCTTCAATGCGAACGTCAAAACAGTTCTACTGTACGGAGCTAAAACTTCGAGAACTACTACAACCATCATCAAAAAGTACAGGTATTTATAAACAACTGTCTACGAAAGATACTCAATGTCCGTTGGCCGGGTACCGTCAGTAACATCTTACTGTGAGAGAAAACAAACCAGCTCCCTGTTGAAGAGGAAACTGAGAAAACACCCTGGAGGTTAATAGGACATACACTGAGGAAGCCACCAAACTGCGTCACGAAAACAAGCCCTAATATGGAATCTTGACAAGAAACGGAAAAGAGGAAGATCAAAGAACACACTACGCCGAAAATTTCAAGCAGATATGAAAAGGATGAATAGCAACTGGAAAGGATTGCTCAGAACAGAGTTGTATGAAGAATGCTGGTGGGTGGCCTATGCTCCATCAAGAGGGGTAACAGGCGTAAGTAATAATCCAGATAAAAAAGTGTGGAAGACGCGTTTTTCGATAGAAAAAAAAACAATAAAAACAAGTAGTTAAAGTGAACAAACCACTTACGTGTTAATGTTCGTGGTGCCACGCTTATATCTTCTGCTAATCTCTTAAAATCAGGAACACTACTAGATGCTTGGCTATCATCACGTGAACCACGTATAACCGCTGTACTTATAAGACTTCGACATATTGGCGGTGCAAACGGCACACCCGTGGCAACAGCTAAAAAAAGGAACAAATAGTGATGAATAGTTTTCATTTTTGTCATGTATATACTTCATTTTATTAGATGTATCTCTAATAACCCTTGAATATAACTATCAATTATTTGTTTGGACAATCAATTGCTATAAACAGGAAATGATGAACTATTACTTTGAAACTTGAGTTTGTCTGAGTTAATTGACATGTTTCTAGCAAATAGCTTGACAATTTTTATGCTGATAAATTAAAAGAGAATGAAATTGTACATTAATTTGGTGTTTAGTAAGTAAAACGATAAGGCTAACTTGAGGGAGAAGGTGCAGTGGGGCCGTTAGAAAAGGGATATTAGAAGGATAAAAAACTTAACGAACCTATTTAGTAAATGTAGGGAGCAATTTCCTACAGGTTTAATTCTGAGCTATTCTCTAGACCGTCGAATACAGAGTCTCGTTTTAACCAAATATTTTGCTTGTTCTGACTTTGGCCAAACCAAGACTCTGTATTCGACGGTCTAGAGAATAGCTCAAAATTAAACCTGTAGGAAATTACTCCCTACAGTAAATTACCAACGGAATGAATGAAATCTACAAGAACACAAACAGATAAAGGTACACGATGAAAATGAGCTAAACGAAATAATCTTCTCAGTAAATGAGTATATGTATATGTATGTAAGAAAACTAATTGCTTCGGTTTGGACGCCGGGGAAGTATCTCGGCCTTCAGACAAATCGAATAACGAAGTGTGGCGCGTATATATTTGTTGCCTCCTTGTACCAATGTTTATATGTTTAAATAAATAAATAAATATGTTGATACATAGAACAATTTATCGATCTATCAAACTGGGAAATTTGAAGTCATTAATAGAAAAAGTTAGAGATATCCCTTTGTTGATATTTAGGAATGGATTTTGACCAATCATGGATGGCACATGTGCATCTTGAGCTGACTGGTTCTATAGAACCGGTAATAATGTATATATCATACCCGTTGAACAAGGCCATGACTAGACTAACAAGCTAAGTTTTTGAAGTGTAAAACACTTAATCTATATCTTAGTGTTAACAACACTGGGATTCAAGTACATTAAGCTGATGAGTTTTAAATAACGTCCGTCTTGGATAGCACTGATAACCACAAACTTATTTGTTCTAAAGTATCAAAAAATTTAGAACTGAAATCGAACTACAAGTTTGTCGTAATGTTGTAGAATTGGTAAAACTGGTAGATACATACATTACATATAATTAGTATCAAAGTACTATTTAGATATTCACGTGATAATTTTATTTACAAAAAATGTATGCCATCTATAAGTACATGAAATAAAATATTGATGAATGCATTTAGTATTTTTATAAGTGTAGATGATAAAATAAAAGTTGGAACAACATGCATCCATAAATGACGTGCAACAAACCGACATCAAATGGAATAAAAGCAAAAAATAAACTTGAAACCTATTAATGTCTTATACTATAATAGAATGAAAATCTTTCCAATATCATGCATAGTTATTTCAAAAACATCAAAAACCTATAGAAATATTCAGTCTGAACTTTCTTTTTCAGTAACTGTACTACATTTGAGTATAAGAAAAACTAAGAATTACAAGTGTTTATGCTGTTGTTATACACATGATATTTTAATACTATAAACTCATAAAACATGATGAGAATATTTGTTAGGAAAAACAAAAACTATTTAGATATTCACCAAATAAGACTGCTTTGAAAGAATAACATATTGTTTTATATTCGAAGCAGACAAAACTTTACAAAATCAAAAGCGAACATACAAACAGCATTTCATATTAGCGTTATATGAGACTATTATAATTTTCAAAAAGGGATTAAATGTTTTACAACGGTTGTAATTATATTTAAGTGATAATCTATAAAGTATCATTTACACGTTTTTATCTAACTGATATTATTTAGCATCACTTTGGTTATTTTTGTAGAGAAAGAAAATGAAGCACAGAGATATGTAATGGTTATATTTCTTGTACTTTTTCCTTACAAAAATAAACATAAGAACTGAGAAACCTAACACAAACTAGAATAAACAAAATGTTGTTAGGCGATAAATAGTTAATATACTGAAACAAAAAGCTTCCAAGCGTAAGTAAGTAATGTATGAAGCCTTAAGAGCATCCACACTAATACGACAGTAACTGACTAAATGAGAAATTATGTTCCGATTAACAAAAATAGTATGACTAATTAGAACAGCTGATGATAAGCGAGAAGCAAACAATATATATCATCCTAATAACAATAAGCTAGTTTTAAAAAGCAATTTTGAAGCAAAAACCGACTTTAAGAAAATCACTCACTGCTTACATTGAAAACCAGTAAAGGAAAACATAGACTAGAAGTTTTCAGTATGGGCTTAAGGAGATTGTTGAATTTCATTGAAATTACAAACCAATCTAAGTTGGACAACCATTGTAAACCTGAAAGCACTAGACGGCCGTTTCGTCCTAGTATGGGAATCCATAGCAATCTGCACCCATGACCTCGTAGGCAGGAATCTAACTCAGGACCTACATCGTCACATGAGGACGCCAAACAATTTTCGCAAAACTATACTGAAAATTATCATGAGCTTACCAGTGACTAGCTTCGAGAGGGAACTTCCAGAACACTTGTAAGCAGCCGTGATCAATGGAGAAAATTCTGTTGGGTGTGGGAAAGGTACGCACTTAAGTCAATAGAAGATGGTCACGCGAAGCCGTGAATTGATTGAAGTTAGACTTGAACACAGTTCACTGATCTACCGGTTCTGAGTTCCATCCCCTGTTGCAAGGTCGTGGATGCATACGGCCGAGAAGTCACAATACTGGGACGAAATGGTTGTTCAGTACTTCGAGGCTTCTAGTTTTTACCTAACTTATATGAAAAATGTAGTATTTCTTAATCTCTGTGATTTATTCATTTCAGATATTATCTATAAGTACTATAGGTCAGATGTTTGAATACAATAGTTTAATTAAACAGAGGCCGTTAGTCCAGGTCAAATGAAATATACTGTATCAACAAACCATGCACCATCTATTCAAACTAGAAACAGGCAATAATACAAAAGTGATGCCAAATGATGTTACGCGAAAACAACGAACACTGTATAAATGAAAAGTGATGTATAGAACATATAATTTACGGGCTGCAGAACTGAAACGTCTGTAGATCTGTTCAGTTTCTAAAATACAGATGAAAAAGATTCCAAATTGTGCAGGTATACACACAATTCATCTAAATAAGATGACAGTATACTGTATATGATCTGGTCGGAATATAAAGTTAATGGTATTTTTAACTAATAAAACTGATTATTCTTTATCATAGTATGTAGTGGGAGGTGACTCTATCGTGACCAAAAAACAAGATATTTGCTTAAGAAATAATAACTTGTAAAAACATTAGTCACAGTTAAAGAAAAAGGTATGTAAGTAGAATATTGATTAAGCTGAAGTTTGTCGATAATGCTGAATATTATATATATATATATATATATATATATATATATATATATATATATATATATATATATATATATATATATATATATATATATATGAACATTAGTGAATATCTCTAAATAAAGAATCACTTGAACCCATACATTATAAAATTATTAAAAAAAAGAAAATACTGCTCAACAGAAAACAACAATATAGTTGTTAGATTTTTTTTCGAAATATGTTTTCAAGTATCCTTTCATGAAAAGAATAACTGGAAATTTTTAAACCAAACAAAATGTTTACTGCAGCGAAATTCTGTAATGAAGATAAACCAAATTATACATTCAGTGTAGTTTGAAAAGTAATAAGCAAAATTTTTTTATTTATTTGAACACAAACATTGATACAAGGGGGCACCGAATAAATATGCGCCACACAATAATAATGAGTCCAGTAGTGATTATAATTGACTTGTGTGAGGGATGGAATATTAGCCGGGTGCCCAACCAAAGCTGATGGTTTTCTTAGAAGGCCACAACTGGAGCCTCTGACCTAAAGGTCTAATCCACAAGGGAGTGGAGCAATGTAAGGAGTTGCACTTCCATGGTAGCCGGCGGTTCATACGCCATTTGTTCCTTCAGGATACTGGAGCCCATGTGCACTATTGGTTTAGAATCAGGGTTTTACAACTCTCCTAAGTGGACCTTCTGTTTCCACCAAACCGGTTAGAGCGCCAAACATTCGCTCTTCATCCTCTCAATTTGGTAAAAAACACCTTACCGCAAGTAGGCAGTGAGTAGGACTTTCTTGGTAGTGGCTGTACAGGAGTGGTCATGTGAGAGCATTTCGAGAGAGAGCAGACTCTCTCCACCCTTGGTTGTACAAGGGGATTTGAAGGCAACGTGGTATGGTATGTGATATATATTTATAGGTACTGCTAGCCAGAGCATTTTGAAGAAACATTTCATAGCAATTAGCTGACTGACAGAGATATAACTAGTCTATGGATTTATGTAAAGAATATAAATTTTCTTAGTAAATTAATGAAATTTTAAACTTTTTAATACTAATTAAATTGAATGATAGAGATAGCTTATATTCCTTTTTTTTGTTATAAAACATACCTCTTATAAGACGTCCAATATCTAAATGATATGGACTTTGACGACTAGGGTAAGTGATAGCATTCAAAGTTTGGTTGATAACAGGATCATCATCTACACCACTGTCAGCCCCAGATGATGACAAAAAATTGTTGACTGGTTGAGAATTAATTTGACTAAATGGCAAATCCATTGCAAATTGAGTCGATTCGTTGGGACACACCGGTTCATCAGAAGGAAGTGGAGTTAAACGAGCTCGAGTAGATGTGGAAGTTAAATCTTGATTTTTTGATGAATGAACAGAGCCTGTGCTATTATGTTGATTTATTCTAGTAGAACTATTTGAACCAGCCGAATCGTATACTAATAACGAAAACAAATTGATTACAAACTATTTAAACAGAGGTGGAATGAAATGTCAGAATAGAAAAAAAGCGGTAAACAATAAAATTACACGCTACCATACTTATTTTTTAGTGCACAGTGCTCCGCTAAAAAAAATATTTTCATAAATAAAGAATAAAGGTCAACGTCTAGATGTCGTTTTTGTTGTTGTGGGTCAATCTATGATTGACGACGTTTAACTTTGTGATACTCATAAAACATCAAGATTTAGGACTAATGTTTATCATTCCTTTTGAAAAAAAGTTAATCAGTCATACGTAATGCAAAATTTGGCACATATAAGTATCGATCCAATTTGTCATACTGCATTAGCACAGTGAAACGAAATTATCAAAAACTAAATCCTAGGTTGGAAGAAGAACGATTAATAGCAGAAGAGACTAGGGAAAAAAGAAAAATATATTAGATTTCGGAATCAGGATTTGAGGAAAGAGAGTGAATGTACCTGAATCATTAAGATTAATTTTGAGTCGTATGATATGACGAGAATCAAGTCAAAATTCAATTGATTTACTAATTATGAGTTTTGTTCAACAATACTACCGTTATGATTCAATGTAATGATCATTCAGTGTATTATTTGATTGTTTTCCCAGTATAATATTTTCTTCTGTATAATAAACGATATTCTTGTATCCACTTGACATGAACTATGCTCAGTAAGTGATTTGTTATAACTGAGTATGTGATTTAATTAATTCATTAATTAATTAATTAATCAAAATGGGTGTACAATCAATATATAAATCAGTTTATTTTCGACTAGGGTCGTCGTCGTGTTTTGGAATCAATAAATCTCCACTTATACCAGTCTTTGTGTTCTTACTTTCGCGTCGTGGGAATTGCAGAGGTCCTTCGTTCTGAGTACAAGTGATAAGCGTTTCCGACATAACAATCAGAGACGACCAGATATGACAAGTAAGCATTCAAACGACAAGACACATCACCATATTATCCAATGTCTCCATCCACTAATTACTTACCCACATGGTTTAACCCATCTGTCAATGACTTCATGGACTGGTGCTGTAGTGAAGAAGAACACGGGTGAGGACAGCCAAATTGTATTTAGGACAAATTACAGAATTACTTGGTAAATTAGAAAAACCATATAGTAAATCGTTAATTTGCAAAATATCATTCTATCATATCAAACCGGGCTGTTGCTGTTGCAAACATCAATCCATTGTCTCGCATTTCATTGCTCATGCGATTTCTTACAAATTCCATTGTTTTCTCGCTCTTCTTTTCTTGATCTTCTCCATCTTCTGCTGCCAGCCATTACGTTCTTTTGACTCACGTTATATACTACTTATATCAATATAAGTAGCACGCACCACAGTGCCACGGTTTGGCATGGCCACACTTAACTTTCTTCCTGACTATTCCTGTACTATATAACAACCATCAAGGTAGACGACGGATGGGCACAGGTAATACATGTACAAACTATTGTAGTAAATGAAGATACAATGCCTCAGTTAATAAATCTGAATAGATACGAAGCAAGAATTCTCATGAAGAGGGAGAAAATCGCATCTGAAATATTCTTGATCATCTATTAAGTCAATCAGAAGAGTCTGTACATTGTTAGCGTCATCTCCGCCTATGCCCCGACAGATTGCAGCCCGGATGCAATCAAGGATAAGTTTTACCACCAGTTATCTGTTCTTCTCCAGAAAGTGCGTTCGATAGATATTGTGGTACTAGCCAGAGATTTGAATGCTCAGGTCGGGCATCTAGGCACAGAAGAGAGTCGTTTAGGTGGCCGATGGGGACTCGTTGGTCGCAGGTCAAATAACGGGGACCGTCTACTGCAAATTTGCATAGACCACAACCTGTTTCTAGCTAGCACTAACTTTCGGCACAGTCATCGCCGATGTGCCACCTGGCTTCCTCCCTCTGCATCTCAAGCCTGGACTCAGATTGATCACATCGCGAAACACGTCGTTGCCTTTTCGTCATTTCTGCCTGCATTCCCACTGACTGCAGCCCGGAACAAGTGAAAGATGACTTTTACAGAAAACTTTCTAAACTTATTCAAAAAGCGAAACATTCAGACAGTAGATAATGGTGATCGTCTGCTGCAACTGTTCTCAGACAATCGTTTGTTTTTAGCAAACTAATTTTAAACTTAAGGGGAGACACCGTCTAACATGGCGATCCCCGGCACCAAACCGACGATGAACTCAAATAGACCATATTGCCATCAGTCATCCTTGGAGAGGTTCGACAGAAGATTGTCGCTCGTTCTGGAATACCTGCTTGGACTCCGACCATGCCCTAATACGGCTACGTATCTGCTTGCATCTCATTGAATGCAGAAAAGTCACACTAAAAAGAGTCATTAGCATTGAATTGAGTAATGAGAAAACCAAAAGTCTATTCCAGCAACAACTGAGGTCACACTGAGTAGTTCTGAAAACGAGGTTGACCCAGATGTTTCTTGGAAAGATACGAACAGCTGTGGAAACAGCAGTGACATTTATTAGTGATTTAAACCAGTGTTACAAAAAACCAATGGATTTCTTCTAAGTCTATTGCATTGATGGGTTATCGTAAACTCATCCCATCAAGTTCTGAATACGATGGTGAACGAAAGCAAATCAGATCTAGGTAAGTAAAAGTCGAAGGAACGACCGTGAGCAGTGGTGGGCAACGAAAGCAAAAGAGATGGAAAAGGCGGTGGCTATAGGTAACACCAGACTAATAAAAGAAACTGGAATTAAGAAGACAAAGGTAAGTGAGACAATCTCAGAAAATGACGACACTCTTATCTGCTCCCAGTCCAGATATTTAGAACGATGGGTGGAACACTTTAAGGGGCAGTTCAGCTGGCCTTCAGCTGCCTTACACAGCCACTCACCATTCCCAAACAGTCTGAATGAAACATTGAAGTAGATCCCCTACTCCAAATAAAGTTCAGAAAGCTATAGCTAATCTGAAAAGAAGAAGAGCAGCTGTTCCAGATGAACTAACTCCAGATGTCTTTAAGTATGATGCTCCAGTTTTAGCGATTAGGTTAACTAGTGTTTTAGACAAAATCTAGGAATTCGTCGTCATCCCATCTGACTGGTCACAATAACTGATCTTCCCAATATATAAGGAGGGGTTAAAATCATCCTGTTATAACCATAAAGGGATTAGTTTGACAAATATAGCATTTAAACACTAGCCACAATAATTATCGGACACCTAACAAAGACTCATGAACTGCAAAACTCCGAGGCACTAAAAGTAAAACATTGGTTTGCATTTTTAGATCTTGAGAAAATCTTTGTAACAGTTTGTTATTTAAACGGATTTAATAATAATTAGTATTTCATCAATACGGTTAAAATGGTAATTAGTAGATACTAAAATTCCTTCATCAAAGGAACAATGAGACCATTTCCAATCGCTAAATGCCGACGATTCTACTCATTATAAAAAAGGTGATTTAAGAAATAGCTTATTGAATGAGCGAATTAATACTTATTCATATATATATATAACAGCGTTAATGTATCCGAGAAGCACATAGGTGTTAACTACACTGAAGAACGGCTACGGAAACTGATTATTAATAGAAGAAGAACAGAATTTCATCACTGATGGGCATTATAAATGTTTACTGATGAAAGATATTTTAATAACGGTGAAAATAAAATTAAACGTTTTCCAGTCAATTAAAGAACGTATTGTCTTAATTTTATTTTCGCATATACATTTGGCATAATGCACACAGAGAATTTCTTACAGAGCTAAAAATCTTTCTTAACAAGAAGTGGCAGATGCAAGAAGAAAAAGCAAGTTAAATGAATAAGAGAAAAAAAGCTCTCATGCAAGAAATTACTATGATGGTGAAATTGTCAAAAACAATCTCATGATGATACTTAAAAGAACGTATACTCACATTTACGAGCCCCCAAAGTTAGCCATTTCGGTGTTTCTCGAACTCTCTACAACCGAAGACACGTGGGCAACAATAATGATAATAATAATCAAATTACAGTTACATAATAAAAACATCATACAAAATGGATTAACAGTTGAAAAATAAACTTTCGATAATTGTCAAAAAATTATGTTGACAATAAAATAATAGTCATTACTGTAAAAATATATGCCACCCTAGTCATGAAAACATAACTAAACAATTTATTGAATGCATGTATGAAATTTTGCCACCAAGCATAAATAGATACGTTGATTACGACGGGAGAGGAGACAAAAGTATAAAATAATCCGATATATAAATTCAAGGTTTCAATATTAAAATATAAGTAGATATAAACTGAAAGTGAGAGAATGAGAAGTAGAATCATTAGTGGAATTTTAGTAAGACAAGTATATTATAATGTATGAATCACATATCAAACGAATATTGATATAAATTTTATTAATATCAGATGGGTTTTGCGGAGATTGTAATAATTTCAATGGTTAAGATCATGAGTCAGTTGAAGCTAGACCACCGTGGAAAACCTGGAAGCACTGGACGACCGTTTCGTCCTATTGTGGGACTCCTCAGCAGTCGTGGTTGCGCACTGCTGAGGAGTCCCACAATAGGACGATAAATTTTATTCTCAGAAAAAAACTTTATATCATTATATCAGAAAATTTACAATTAAGTGAAATATCTGTTTATAAAATATTTGCATCAAAAAGTTAGTCGTCATAAATTATTCATGACACTTGTTGACGCGACAATATTTCTAATCCTTTGACATTTAAGTTTATTAGGATAAAACTTTTTCATTGATAATAATAATCATGTTTCAAAATAAGTAGCTCACTGTGACACTGAGAATTAACTTTTACAAATAATTTCAATCATACGATATCCAGCTTTGAATAGTATGATTTAAACTACGTATGTAAGTCAAGATTTTTAGGATGTTTAAACTGTTTAAAAAATATATATACTAAAATATTTTCATATAAAACGAACTAATAACTTATCTCTAGACATAAACCAGTAAATATCATTTATTTCTTACCTTGTCTTCTATGGTGATTGGATTTGATTTGTGATCCCCATTGTCACATTTTTCATCTGATTTCACTAAGTGTTCTGACTGCTTTGAAAGCCATTGAATTACAGGAGCGAAACGTGACGAATTAGTATTTGAACAGGAACATTCAAAAGACAGTTTTTCATTATAATCATATTTCTTAAACTCGCCAAAATCAGTAAGCTTACCTGTCGTTTGAAGTAATTTTGAAATACATGAATATCTAGGTTTTGATGATAGGGTTGTAGCTAAATTTGTCCTTCTGTAAACATCAGGATGACATGAACTAGACCTATTACGGGCAGAATTTTGGCAGAAATTCGAACGTGAAAAATGTTTGAGGTGATATGTTTTTAGTTTATTTGTATACGGTAATGTCGACAATAAATTATCAGTTTTCAATTCATTTGGAAAAGTTGAAGCCAAACTACTTTTATTATCAGTGAACCGCGTGACAGTGAATCGTCCAATACCAACTTCTGTATTTGACGCTGTAGGAGTCCCAATTAATTCTAGCGTAGAGGTTGATGGTACAGGTGATAATGGCAAAACAGAAGGACGACCTTGAGATTGCGATCTGTGGTTGACAATCAAAGTTTCTTCGTGATTAACAGTGTTTTCTCGAGAAACATTTGAAGCGAGGTTACAACGAACACTATGTGACCTGCGAACCGAACATTGCTCGGTAAGAGATGAATCATTAAAAGTCTCTGTTTGATTCTTACATAATTCATACGTATTCCTATCACTATCAAAACTCCAACGAAACAAATCTAAAGAATCAAGTTTTTTTGATACGATTGTTGTAGATTTACCTGAAGCTTTGTCGTTAGCGGAAGATCCCGAGAATGAACATTCACTCGAGTCGAATGACCCAAGATTCTGGTGATATTCACTACTTCGATCTGTTTGTCTACCACTATATTTATCAAACAGATCTTTCCTGTCTTGTTCACTAGCAGGAACAACAGGTGTAACAGAAGGGATTGCTGATTGCGGCATTGAATCGGAACTTCCTTTATCCACAGATGTACCGCTACTCATTACACTCATTTGAGAATTCAGACGCTATTTATTTATTAGTATGTAGTACATGAAAGATGTTCATCATACGAAATACATACATACAAAGATGCAAGAATGAAACATAGCAAGCAATAAAGCGAAATAATAAAACAGTGATATACAAAGTAAGCGTGAAGAGCAACACAAATGAGTACGCATGCATAAACCCGTGCACACAAACAAAAGTCAAAAATTAAACAATTATACATATTGTTTACGCAGACATATATATGATATGAATCAGAGAAATAAAGGAAGCAAAACACAATGCCGAATTTCATATTAAAACATTTTTGAGCAAAAATTACCCATTTTTAGGTTGTAAATTTATGAACGTACGTAAAACCCGTCAGTGTCCATATGATAGTGATGAGGAAGGAAATAAAATCAGGATGAGATGAAAAAATGGGGATAGTTTTATGAGACAATAAAAACTGACTGTGATATACAATATTTATTTGTTTAATATGGTAAGCAATAACAAATGCATAACTTCTAAAACAAAGTGAAACTATAGAAGAAACAAACTTCATTTTTTGCAAACTAGGGTATACACAGTCCAGCATATAGTTGAAGTTATAATGAGAATTAGACTACTTAATAAATGCATAAAAAAACAACGGCCTCAGCAAACAAAATATGATGATAACGTTTTGTTATGCAGAATAGGTGAGAAAGCTAGGAAATACCACTTATCAAGATACGGATGATGAAACATTAATATAACAAGAGTTTAATATATAACAATTACCTTTTCCTAAGAAATATATTATGGTGATCAGTGTTTTCACTTTAAAATTTCCTATTCACCAAATCCTAATCATCACCGATTATAGATAAATAATCTAACAATAAGTCGAGGATATTTCGATATCAGGAATTGGTTGATAAAATTATTTCGTCGAAGCAGGTTAGTGTCATAATTAGACAAAAACGTATTCTCTCACAGGGAATGTGTTAGTTGTTAATCTCAAACCCTGAACTTATCATCTTCAACAAAAAATTATGCATAATACTCATCAAACAAAAAATGATCGACAACTTACTATTGTAAGGAATAAATTCATACTGAATGTATTGAAAGGTGTTGAATTTTATTTATGATGAAGAATAATGGACTAATATAATGGAGCATACTAAAGATGCATCAATCACAGAACATAACTTTTGTTGAAAGATATTCAGATACTGGGATATCATATGGTTATCCCAAACTGAATTATTTGTTACATATTATTATTTGAACACATAAATATTGCTAAAAAGGTGCACCGAATACATATGCGCCACACAAGTCACTTGATTTGTGTGTGGGCTGTGATAATGCCCGGGTACTCAGACCGAAGCAGGATCCTAAACTGAAATCCCTCAACTGCTTAGTATAAAATAATAGGCAACTACAAACAGCCAACAGTTTTCAAGAGGTGACTTTATAGAAATTAGATACATGACCTCAAATCTACACATTACTTTATATCAGTCACTCATTTGAAAACAAGAAACAGCTATCTAAACTAAAAAGCCTCAGTATCACCAAAATGTCTTCACATAGTAATCTTAAACTGAGAATATTTTCAGCATTAACTTATGCCAGACTTGATCCTTTATAAGGTTTTCATAAGACGTACACTCTGTCCACAGGTAGCTAGCAATATTTTTTGTGCATTATTTAAGACAATCTGTTATAAAATGCAAAGAAAAACGTTTTTCTTTCAAAAGGTCTAGCGATAAATCATATGTGAGGTAAATAATAAAAACGTACCACCAATTTTCCCGATCGAAAACCACTCCCTTCAGGGAGATCATGACATAATGCAAAAGCACCAGGACTAAAGTGTAATTCAACATGGAATCGTTTTTCAGTTTTCGGTTCCTACGGTTTGAAATAATTTATAAAAAAAAGTGTTCATTGTTAATGCAAATGTCCGAAAACACAGAAGATTGATGTAAAAACTGCCACCGGTTTGACTGGTTTAGATGTGTTTTTTTTAGAGAAAAACAAATGAAACATGGACGAAGCATTTACGACTGTTCAAGTGGTATCATTAAATGTCGGAATGAAGATAAACCCTTTACCACTTGCAATTTAAGTGATAAAGTTTTTCCATAGTATACGAAGACTCCAAATGATACAGCTTAACGTCGTACTGAGGGATATAACATGCGAGTTATTCTTGCTAACCAACATATCGATGAAACAAAATGACACGAATATTACGTCAAGTATAATTCCCATTGGTCTATAGTTCATCATCCATGGAAACGTTTCACAGTTATGAATTTAAACATTGATATTTGATGAAAATTACCATAATAATTGTCAATCACGTTTAGATCATAACTCCGCCTGTAGCTCTCCTACAGATACTGCCGGTCCCAAGCCCGGGTAAACGAAGAGGGTTGGATATGGGTCGGCAAATCCACCATGTAGAAAAAAATCTTGCTAAAAAATGCTAACCAGACTAAACAAAATAAACCATTTAAACTCTACCCTGGGGACTGAAGGAGGAAATATGACGCCTCAGGAAGAAAGCCAAGATTCTTCGGAAGTCATGAGGCCGATGACTCTTCAAAAAACCAGAGCAATAATTTTCACAGATGCATTGAACTTTCGGACAATGTGGGAGACCAGGAAAATCAGCCAAATAGCAACGAAAATGAGGGGATACAACTTGGCAGTACTGGGAATCAGCGAAACCCATTGGACCCAAGCTGGACAACAAAGGCTAGAAACTTGAGATATGCTGCTGTACTCTGGTCACGAAAAGGAAAATGCTCCACACACTCACGGGCTTGATTTGTTGTTGTTTAAACAAGCACGCAATCCACTTATTGGGCGGGAATCTTATGGACTCACGAGCTTCTTCAAAAACGAAGAAGAATGGAATTACAATGAATGTTATCCAGTGTTATGTACCCACAAATGATAGCAAAGAAGACAACAAGAATAAGTTCTATGAGAGGATGCAATGAATCATAGCGAAGTGCCCAAAAAAGGATCTCACTATTCTGATAGGAGACCTATACGCCGAAGTCGGAATGGACAACACCGGATATGAAGATATCATGAGACGACATGGACTGGGAGAGAGAAACGGAAATGGGTAGAGATTTGCAAATTTGTGTGCATTCAACAAATTGGTCATAGGCGGCACAATATTTCCACACAAACGCATACATAGAGCCACATGGATCCCACCGGACCACACCACAAAGAACCAGAGAGATCATTTTTGTAACCACAAATAATTCCGAAGGACAATGGAAGATGTGAGAACCAGGAGAGGAGCTGACATAGCTTCAGATCACCACCAAGTTGTGGCCAATTTAAAAATGCAGCTAAAGAAGTATTGGACAACTGGACAAACAGCAATACAAGGCTTCAATACAGCCTTCCTTTGAGATACTAACAAACTCAATGAATTCAAGATAGCTCTCAACAACAGGTCCCAGGCCTTACAGGATCTACTGAAGGAAGAAGAAACGACTATGGAGGACAATTGGAAATGTATCAAAGAAGCATTAACTTCAACGTGTCAAGAGATCCTGGGCCTCAACAAGCATCATCATAAGGAATGGATCTCTATAGAAACACTGGACAAGATCAAAGAAAGGAAGAACAAGAAGACAGCAATTAACAACAGCCGAACACGAGCAGAGAAAGTCAAGGCACAAACTGAGTACATAGAAGCAGACAAGAAAGTGAAGAAGAGCATTAAAGCCGAAAAGCAGAAATACGTGGAAGAACTAGCAATGACGGCGGAAAAAGCTGCAAGAGAGGGAAACATGAAACAGCTGTATGATACAACGAAGAAACTAGCAGGGAGATATAGTGAACCAGAGAGACCGGTCAAAGACAGAGAAGGCAGGCCAATCACTGAGATTTAAGAACAGATGTACAGATGGTGGAACACCGGAGGAACTCTTGAATGGGCCAGCCCCATTAAATCCACTGGACATCGAAGCAGCACTCACAGACAGAAATCCAGAGTGCCATAAGACAAATCAAGAACGATAAAGCACCTGAATTTGACAATATACCAGATGAAGCCATTGAAGTCAAACACAGAAGCAACTGCAAACATGCTCCACTTTCTATTCAGGAAGATTTGGGAGGAAGAACACGTGCCGATGGACTGGAAAGAAGGACAGCTCATCAAGATTCTAAAGAAAGGATATGTGAGTGAATGTAGAAACTACAGAGGTATCACACTACTGTCAGTACCAGGAAACGTTTTCAACAGTGTTGCTGAACCAGATGAAAGATTCAGTAGACACCCAACATCGAGATCAACAGGCTGGATTCTGTAAGGATCAGTTGTGCACAGACCAAATCGCAACGTTACGGATCATTGTTGAATAATCAGTTGTGTGGAACTCGTCACTATACCTCAACTTGATTGAATATGAGAAGGCGTCTGACAGTGTGGATAGGAGAACATTATGGAAACGTCTTCGACACTATAGAGTACCTGAGAAAATCGGCAACATAATCCGGAACTGATACGACGGACTGATCCTGGTCCTACGTTATAGCTGACTGACTGACTAACGAAGGACTACAATGCTGACAGGTGCATTCTAAATAAGGATCAAAGTCAGACACGTTGCCTAATCTCCCCCCTTCTAGTGGACCTCAACATCTGAGGGAATGCACTGAATACAATAGACAGCTCAGAATCAATTAGAAGATTCGGACTTCGCAGATGACCTGGTCATTATATCCCATATACAAGGAAAAATACAACTCAAGACAACTAGTGTGGCAAAAGCCTCTGCATCAGTAGACCTCAAACATACACAAAGGAAAAGCTAGATCCTCAAATACAGCACAGAAAACATCAACCCAATCACACTTGAACGAGAAGTGTCTATCTATTGAAATCAAGAAAAAGTTAAAATTCTAAAAAAAATATTTACATACAATAGAAATATAAAAAAACAACTTTCTCGTAAGTTACGGTAGATTAAAATGTGATGTGTTATCCACCATCTCTTATAGTTTGTTTGAAATACACGTTTTATAAATCATACGCACTATTAATAATCCTATGCAAACACAGATATTTAGAAGAAAATCACAGTAGAGTTGTCATTTAATTCATGTGTGAACGCGATTATGACTAATGTAAATTTAGATGACAAAAACACTCATTGTTCTTATCACTGTATGCACAACACCAATTTCTATCTAATAATCCATGGATGTAACTAGACAAACTGGACTTCGCAGATGACCTGGTCATTATATCCTATATACATGGAAAAATACAACTCAAGACAACTAGTGTGGCAAAAGCCTCTGCATCAGTAGACCTCAAACATACACAAAGGAAAAGCTAGATCCTCAAATACAGCACAGGAAACATCAACCCAATCACACTTGAACGAGAATCTCTGGAAGATGTGGAGACTCTGATGTGCCTGAATAGCATCATCGATGAACAAGGAGGATCTGATGCAGACGTAAAGGAGAGGGTCGACAAAGCTAGGGCAACATTACCACAACTCAAAAACATATGGGACTCAAAACAACTGTCAACCAGCATCAACGACAGCATCTTCAATGCGAACGTCAAAACAGTTCTACTGTACGGAGCTAAAACTTCGAGAACTACTACAACCATCATCAAAAAGTACAGGTATTTATAAACAACTGTCTACGAAAGATACTCAATGTCCGCTGGTCGGATACTATCAGCAACAGGCTGTGGGAGAAGAGAAATCAACTTCCAGTTGGAGAGGAAATGAGGAAAACATTTCGCGTTTTCAATGAATAAAATGTTTGTTTTAACGGATTTCTTAATATTTACTATAGATAATTTTTCTGCATGATGTCCAGACCCAATTAATGATTAATGTAAAAATAAAATTTTATGTATAGTTTAATATTAAACTGTTTATTTGATTAGAAATAAATACTTTGCATAAACAAGATCCGAAGAAGTGTTATTTAACAAGGAAATACACAGTATTCATTTCACTTAGTCTAAATAATCATAGTGTTTAAATGAAGGATGATGCTTATTAAAATATATCTGAAAAACAAGTGACAAAATTTTATAAAAACTAGTTACATTTTTAAAAGGTTGAATTAGACAAACAAATGGTGATAATTTAGAATTATTAAGCGAAATTGAGACGATAGATAATGATTATTATATGTAAATAAGCTTTTGTGTAAGATAATTCATAAAAAACATACTTCTTATATTCACCCTAATCCTAAACTCATACTTGAGAATTCCCAGTTGTTTTTCAGGCCCTCATGAAGAAACATTTGTTTACAATGTGGGTAACTGGAAAGTGGTAACCACTTTCCGTTATATACACATCAACTACAGCACTCAATATAGTTACGCTTATTATTTGGTTTAGGATTGGTTAGTGTATTGTTAGTACAAATGAAATCTTGAGATAGAAATCAAGCAAAAGGTAAACAATATCTCATAAATATAATAGCATAAGAACCATGACCTTTGAGATATTTTGAAGTTAGTTGGACGTAATCGGCACGTAATAAGCAGATTTTAAGGGAATATTGCTCCTGCATTATGAAGCCTGATAGTTGTTTCATATTTTAATAAAGGTAATATAATGTACAACTTACGTAAGGCCGAAATCGGTTAAGCTAAGCACATTCCATACTATATACTTCATATAATAAATAAAGTGTTAAAAAATGCATAGTACTGATTTAGAAAAGTACCCATCACTATTCCATAATCGATGAACACTTCCAAAAAAAGTTGAATACGTCAGGGTTTAATAACACTAACAAAACGACAAAATAAAATATTAGAAAAGTAATGCAATATATACCGCGGAAACTAACCACAGTAGGATCTTCATAAATCATAATTACAATTTGAGCAAGATAATTAATTTCAGAAATAGACGACACATACTCCATAGCACGTCTCCATTGTTCATCTGTTAGAATGTCTGCTAATTCACCATATCTTAGGCAAGTAAGTAATGAATGAATATGACTTTCACTAGTGAAATACAAGCGACTACGAACAAATCGTTCAGGTGAAGCAACTCCTTTTGAATAACTGGAAAAAAGTATTGTAAAACACATAACACAAAAAAGTGAATTAGACGGCAGCATAAAATAGTCTTTTTATTTTACAAAGAAATAGTTACAACAAATGAATATTCTTTTTGGGAAAAAATGTTTGATATTGTTAGAAAACAATTGAGAAAAAAAACTTGACAACCATGTGTAAACTCATGTTCTAGTCTCTTTTTTAGTTTACTCAATAAGAACAGCTTGTATCAATTAGTTCGTAGAATGATTTAAAATATAAAAAGAGCTTAAACTTGCTACTGAATAGTTTGAAATCTAGTGTTTTATATCTGCTAAATCAAACCGTTAATTCATACAACAGATTTTGGCTTACATAGCCTATGTCTAAATATATATAATACATCTAGAAATATTTTTATAATTAATCCCAATAATCTATAAGAATTGTAAAAAAATTACACAGAAATGACAAAAATATAACTATTGAGTAAATTATTAACCCAAGAATCTAAGATATTTGTAATGATATAAAACAGTTAGAATAAGAATTCATTGTTTTTCTTTAACTTATACCTAAATAACAAGATATAAACCATTCCATTGCATTTTATGTAAGCAAATAATTATGAATGAAACATCAAAAGTAGACTATGGGCAAAATTAGAGAAATTATTAATAGATATAAACAATTTTTTTCAACCGAGTTCAATAATAATACAATATATTCTTGAAAGAAAAAAACAAATCAATCAATTATCATTATAAGGAGAAAAAATTAACACATAGAATTCCGTGTTAGTGGCCCTAAATCTGACTCCAGTTTGGTCGTATGAATGATATTGAAATATATATGTCCCCTGTCCTCGTATATAGTTAACGACTTAGGTCGCGTTAGTGAATAACGGAAATAAATAAGTCAAATGAGAGAACGAATTTCCCAATACATATATTTTGTACAATCGTTGGTCGGAACAGATAATCAGAGAAACCTAGAGAAGAAGAGTGAAACGAAATGACGCGAAGTGGAGATGGCTCGTTAGTCAACTCCCTTTAACCAAGCGTTAATTAATATTTACAATCACATAAAATTAAGCTACAGACATGTGATGAATGGAATAGGAAGGGCACACACATGCTCTCAGATAAACAGTCAAGACTGATAAGAGAACAATTAACAAGGTCAAAATGTGACTCGAGTAGAATGAATAGATAGGCCTGTCCGAAAGCTAGAATAAGGTATATGGGCTTAACATAATAACCGATACGACACCGTCAACTCTTGTTTAAATAGAATCGTAAGGACAAGGAGACGTAACTTATTCATATAAATATACAATATAAACTCAGAAATCACTCACGTCCAATTAAGATTAATATTTTATTTTTAGGAGTACATAACATAAATGAATATAAAATCTTTTCGATGATGTCAACTTATATAAGTGGGTTTTTTTAATGTAAGTAGTTATTAAGTCAACTGAGGTTTGCCTTTAACAAGTCAAAATATGATCGGGGCAACTACGAACATATTCTTAGGAAATACACAGAATTAATCAGCGTGCTGGTGATAAAAAAACCTTCAGAATAAAGAGATAAAATTGATCAGCTGAATATTAATCTGACAACTACTTAGTCCTACTGAATCCTTTAAAGAGATCGGAGAACAATTATGGTATATCATGAACCGACTAAATTTGTAGTATATCATTCAGTAAATTCACAAACAATAAATAAACAATAATTTTATATTAGGATTTAGACTACTGATGAGTTATGGAATAAAATGAAAAAGCAGTTAAATATACGATTTTTTCAGCAATTTTCCAAACCACACTAACAAATAGCGTAAAGTGCACTTACACTGCATTAGATTCGATTTAAACGAATCCTATTTTCATGAATCACATTCACTCACGCAACAAACCAACCAATCAGAATATCGATTTCTATAAATTTGTCCCTGAGCTAACCAATGACACGCTAACTGGCACTAGTAGCCTATTCACCGTTAAGTCCTTATTGATACTCGATTAGACCGCTTTTATTTCTGCCTGCCCGTTGAGTCCAGAAAATAGTAATCATCAGCCTACACTATGAGAGTGTTATATCTCAAGTATACATAGTTTGTATACAGATACATCTGCCCACATCATAACATAAATTAAAAACGACAATTAAACATGATCAAGCCCAAAAAGGGCTATGAGTAGAGGAGGCTGAATAGTAAAATGGCAACAGAATAAGAATACTAACCTTACAACAGTAGTTAATAGATTAGTCAAAAGTTTATGATAAAAGGTATATATACAGCCCATAAATTACTCCCCAAAGTTACCATTTCTTTAATCTTCGTCAGTTATAACAATTCCAAAAACCAATTTATCCAAAATCATTAAGGGAATCAGTTCTTTATGGTTATCTTGAATACTTTATTACCAACATACAAGTCGATGTTTTTGACCTAAACTTCACTTGTGCAAAATATATTGCAATTACAATAACAATTCATTCATCTTACATTACTTCATAGTTCAAATTAATTAAATAAGTTGAAAATAAAATTAACATTATTAGGATCACTTGAAAATTATTAGCTTGAAGTTCAACATGATTGACTAAACTAAAAGAAATAGCGACGTAATTTGAATTATTTTTTGTGTTATATTTACAGTGCAGTTTTTGAAATAAAGTATTCATGATACAAAGGAGTGAGACTACAGTCTTCTAATTCCAAATGGTCAACTGAACGATCAACAAACAATATAACATTAATAATTAATTCAAACAACTACACTATGTTAAAGAAAAGGACAACAAAAAACTTTAAAGAATTATAAATGAATAAGGAAGAAGCTAAATAATAATCATCGAAGCAATCGTTTGTTTTTAAGAGACAAAAATGGAATATATATTTTAATCTATTAGTCAACTGGTTAACTTATATTTAGTATGATATAAATTTCTAAACTATTGACAGTCTAAAGAATTAAGTAGATTAAGACAGCCACTGGAAAACCGATGTTATTTTTATAGCTTGACTATTTATTTATCTCTTTGATATACTATCAGTAAACTGTATGAGATATAAAAGTAGTTGGATATTTGATAAATAGGACATTATTATTTGAATATATTATGGATAGCACTTTTTATATATTTACATTCAACTACATCGTGGCAATCAGGTTGGAATATAGAGACAATAAACAGACAACTTCAATCAATGAACCGGAAAGCACAAATTGAACCAAATCTAAACCTATTGATGTATTTATTTAGCAATTTTACTACTTACTAGTTATTAATGTTTATCATACGATAAATAAATTTAAACAGATTGTTTAAACTAGATGTACTTAAGGAGTCATAACTGCTACCTTATAAAGAATTAAAACTGAAGAAAACTAATTCGTAACCTATAAAAAATGAATATTATAATTTTTATTCACTATATGATAAAGTTAATAATTTTGCAAACATGGCTTATATGAAATAATTGAAGTACAATCTCGACCAAACATGCAGCTAAAAGTAACACTTATTATACTTATCAATAGAGCTCATAGTGGAAGTGTCATCGACATAATATCGTGAAGCTTGTTTCAATAAAAAATTGGAACCAAAAACGATGAAATAATTAAGGTTTTCACACATATGCATGCGTATGTATACAACGGATAAGAAACAACAATACATACACATATACCTAAATATATGTTTGTGCAGTAAATAAATACAAAATATTTCATTTAATTGGTGCACATATAAAAACACAGTTGAATAATTAAGCTAACTCGATTAAGTTAAGTAATGCCTCGATAGGCCATTGTTAATCAAATAAAAAGAAAAGTGGCAAAAACTAAAACATGCTATTATAAACACGACAAGGTCGAAACAAAAATCTTTTAAAAGTTATGAAGAGATTATATAATCAGACCCACCAATCGGGACAAGGTTCACCGTGATTTGGGCGATGGCTAGAAATAGATAGGTGAAGTAAAGCAAAAAAAGGGGTGATAGGATGCATGAGAATTTAAAAAAAGTGGGAGTGACAAAAGAGATTCAGAACGAAATAGCCAACCATGCATACATTTCGTTATGATAACTGATGTTACGGCAATGAAGTGCTAGTGCTAATCAAAGTCTGTCTGTAAAAAACCTATGAAATTGATCAACTAATTTGTAGCACAGGAGTGGTCAGAGTGTGTTGGATTTGCATTTCCAAATCATAACTGGATTCAGCTAAACAACCATTGAAGACAAAGAGCCATTAGTCAGCTCTTCTTAAAATGGGAGTCGTCAGGAGTGTGCACCCTCAACTCCACCAATCGTCTATGCCTAAAATCGGTCATTGGCAACTTAAAGAGTTACTATTGATAAATACTAATGTATCTGAAAAGATGGAGCAAAAATCTGAAAATTCCAGTGGTAAATTTGTTCATAGTGATCCCAATAACACAAGCTTTATGGTGGTAGTTATCATAAGTCTTCCTAGGGTTTGTGATGAACATCTGTTAGTGACTTTAACCAGTCCACAGGGTACAGTATTGATCAAACCCAATAATAGAATGCCGAGACCCACCAGAAGTTAAATACAACGATAGCATACACATCGCTGCTTTCAGTCAAAAACGATATACATGGATAAGCATTAATACATAAAAGGCTCTAATAATCAAAAGTTTTAGATTTATGGGAATAAAGGAAACGTCATGTTTATCCTGTCATACCCGTCTCACAATGTGTTGAACCATCATTAAAGACAATAAACAACCAGTCCAGTTAAAATATGGGTAACTAATATGATGGGAAAGTGTAATATTTATGGTTTTTAGTCAGTTAGAATTCCAAGAAATATTAAATAGGAAGTTAAACAAATGACACTCATTTGTTAAGTCAGTTTTTAATAACCGAACATTCATACTTTACCGTCTAGAACAAATATATCACTCGAGAATTAAATGGAGCTGTGATATGTGGTGAAATCATTTACTTTTGGGTAGCATGTTTGAGCTTCCATTAAAACGCATGGCTTTGGAGAGCCTGGGATTATAGCTAATCCTTACATGTAAATTGTGACTCAAAACCGGTAGCCTAAACTGCTGTAGCTTGGTAAATGAATTTGGATTAGTTTCACTCAAAACTTATGAATTCGGAGCACGAAAATAACAGAAAAAAAGTATGAAATGAGCCTGAATATCAAAACAGCCGATGTAAGCAGGTTTCTTCATGACTAGAATCCTCATAATTAAATTTGTAAACTATAGTAACTGTTGAAAAACTAGATGTCGATCCATAAAACCACTTAGATCAAATCATGTGTAAGATGTATATCGACAACTCCACAGTCAACTAGCAATATGATTAGTTCTAAAGGCATGATTAAACAAGATGAGGTAGTATAGAAATATAAAAACTTATGGAAAGTGAAATTGAACACCACATAGTAAAGCCTAAAATAATAATACTAGAAAAATATCCTATTGAGGTTAAAATTTTCAATTCTCAGATAAGAAGGGTATTCTACTTGGAAACAACATTGCACATAAAAACATGATTGCTTGAAATCAAACAGTAAAGGTCTTGGGGATATAGAGTCTGTATAGAAACCATTAACAAGAGCCCATATTTAATAGTTCAACCAAATTAAAACATCATGTCTACCTGGAACCAAAGTGTATAAAATACCAATGGAGATACTATTAACAATTATATAAGACAAAAGCTAATAAATTAAATAGTTTATAAAAAGCCATATCACACCATATGAATAAACAACTATGCCAACTTATCAATAAGTGATTGACATTTAAAAAAGTTGAAATAGCTTCAGTAAACAAGCTGATTTGTGAAGTTTTAGTGATATCAAAGACGACAGAAGACGCGATACATCTGCAATTATTTATTAGTGGCACCATCAACAGCAAACATGGGGTGAAATAATTAAACAGAATGGCATTACTGAAAGGTGCATGTTGAGTACGCTGTTACAGATAATAAGATAGTTAAAACAAACGATATACAACACGCAAATTATTTATAAAAATGACTCAATTAATTACAGACAAGCCCTTAAACATCGAACAACAATGGTTTCAACAGCATAAGATCACATACACTGTTGTGAAAAACACTAAGTTACTTAGGAAAAATAAAATTTCGACAACTTAATGGCTACATTTATTTATTGTCAAGGTATACTGCTTCATATTTACTAAGATAAAAAAATAACTGAAATAGTGTATACAAATAGTACTCTGTAACTGAGATAGCAGAATTTAGTAATGAGAGAGAAAAGGTTTATAATAACCAAACAAATAACAAAAACTATCGGAACGTGAAGTTGTTTAGGTATGCAATCTGTCCGAAAATAGTAAGGGACAATAAAAATAATCACAATACATATATACAAACAAATAAATGATTTCTTACAATAGTATACGGTAGAGTACAGGAATCGGTAAAAGCACGAAAATGATTTATTTCCAATGCCATCAAATGTATCAGTAAGCATGTTTATATTTTCTGAAATATGACATTTAGTACGCTGGTCATTAACTAAGCTGGATGATGAGGAATAAAACTGAAAATAGGTAGTTTGTAAATTGAGACTTGGAAATATAACATTTAAGCTGCTTAATGAAGAAAGGTAATATTAAGAGCGGTTGACTTTTACCTAGGCTCAGATCATAAATGAATAACATGTTATTTCCAAACAAATAATCTACAGAATACAGTATTGACAGTTGTCAATAGAGAAGATAAACATTAAACAGATTGTTATGCAAAAGTTATAATGTAAATGTTCAATTAAACAGAATTTTTCAAAGGTAGAATTGTATGATAATCAGTTTCTAATTCAATCGTCATTGATCTTTATCTTACATCACATTTGCCTAAATAAAAAATTGTTTTCAATTGGCCTAGGACTTAATTACCTTTTTGGTCTAAACGTCTCCGAACATAAATCTACTAAAGTATCGAAATTACGGAGATTACTAAGTTACATCTAGCGAAATTTCTATGGGAAAAATTCTAGACTTTCTGGACAAGACCTGTGTAAGGTTTATCTTTGAATACCGGTTTTTCTATTTTCATCAACTCATGTCTATCTGATAAGCTAACAGTAGAAGGAGTTCTATGATATTTTCACTTGGAAAGTACCTAAAACTGACACAGTAACTGACTATATATCGAGGTGTGATATCCTAAAACTCAAACTCCTATGGTTTACGACAAAAATAATTCTGTCTCAAACTGAATCGAAAACTAACAGTTCTTGTTTAAACACACCTGCGCATGACTCGGGAAATAAAATATCTACAACTGAAATGGAAAAATACAGGACGGGGACTTTTCGTGATTAAGTACGTTCAGACATAAAATAGTCTACCGTTGGAAGCAAGATTGACGAGTAACTTTCATTCATTTGTTCAGTTGCTTAATCACAATCTTCATGCACTAAAACTCTTAATATATGTAACTACCTCATCATCATGCGTGAGCATAGTCACCTCCCTAAATTTCCAAAAGAACATACAGCATTTTACTAGCTAAATATCACACTACAGTAACAAAAGTAATGACAAGAGCTTTTGCAGATGTATACACCTTAAAATAACCACGAATAATATCTCCTTCGCCTGTGTTTCTCAACTTTTCTATTTCCTTTACAGCAATGCGTTGGATCAATATGTTGTATTTAAACCACATTTGTTCCACAATTCCAAGTGTACTTATGTAGCAGAAGCAAAACGACAGTTCAATACACACGAATTATCTAGTATATGTAAGATTTTCTTAAACGGCTAAACAAAAATGGAAAGCTTACATAATCGTCTCTCATCATATCCCTTGATTATGAAAGGCTCACATTGCTCACCTACAAAACTTTTTCAGATGACTCAAGTAAACAAATAGTTAGAGATTTATTGATGCACATATATGCTTGGTCCTACGTGGTAGCTGACTGACTGACTGATTGAAAATATAGCACTGGCTAAAATATATTCTTATAAAGAACCACAGAAAAGAAATAGATAAACATATCGAAGCTTTATTATATCAGCACAACCATTCCTGCAAAATGTCATGAAATCTTTAAAGTATTATTATTATCACTATTAGTAATATCTTTTTGATGGGAATGGTCTTTATGCTTATGTTCAATGTGACAGGAAGTTTTAAACAAGCAACCCTCACTCTGGTTTGGGTATTTAAATGAAACCCGAAAATCTATCAACCCAGTAATTATCAATTGAAGAGACTGGGGTTACAAAATAATAATAATAATAATAGTAGTAATAATAATAATAATGTCTTGCGTAATAAAAATTAAGAGAGCATACCGAGTTTTCAAACTAAACTATTTGGGATTTTTGAGTACATGCATCATTCTGATGTGCCTATAGTACCAGCAATATATACCCGGTAAATATCGTATTTTTAACAGGCAGTTTAGTGTGCACCATGAATGTAATCAAAATACTTTTGAACCATATCTTAGAATGTTAAATAATAATAAATAAGTAAGTTCATTAGCAAAACAAAACGTTTTCTCCAATCACACAGTTTTCATAGACCATACAACTCTAATTATAATGAACGGAAACTAAACAAAACTGATATAACCAAGAAAGAGATTTACAGAAGTTCACTCCAATAAAATGAATGATTTAGAGGAGGAAAGAAATTAGAAAATAGTGATATCTTACTACACTTATTTAAAGGACATTCAATTTTTCGTGTTAGCATATCTAAACCCTTGATTCAACCTTCTTTTACATATACATGCATCTGGGTGTATTCATTAGTTAATAAAATGGGCATAAAAGATCATTTCTTACAGAACTTATTTTCTTAAAAAACATTTTGGACTATTAAGTTTAAAAGGAAGTAAACACTTATCGGAACATTAACAACTGTTTTTAAATCACATTTATTTTGCGTCACTCATTTAATTTCTCGTCCAGGCTTAAGTTATGTAGATTTAAAATAGGATTCAACTAGCCTTAATTAATTCCAATTTTGTTAGTAACTTTGCACAGTGTCTAAGATAATAAAATAAAATGCCCCATAATGTATCTGTTAAGTATATCAGTGTTACATCAAATTAAAGGATAAAACACTTGATAATTTGACATTATAATTTCAAATAATTTTAGCATCGGGTATATTGTTAATAACAAAGACCATAAGTAAAAATACAGATTTCAAAATGTTTTTTTCCAAATGCTAAGAAAGTTGTAGCTGGATTTTTTCATGCAATGTCAAACCCTCTTGCGCTCCATAGTCAGGAAGGCCTGAAGATTCATTCAAAATAAATCATTTATTCAAATATCCAAATAATCATTTCTATTCATATCTCGTATCAGGAGCAAATGTTCTTTACTCTTTTACATTAGAAATATATTTTTCACATACACTAACCTACAAATAAGTAGGTCTCATACAGAATCACTTTGTTCGAAATAACGTGATATTAACGTGATCAGATCTATTTCGGTTATACTAAAACTTGTGTGTTTTATATTCTTTGTATCACCGAAACTTTTGTTAATTTATTTCATTTACTTCTTTAAAAAAGGGACACGCACGAAGTTACGAAATGTCAGCAATTCAATTCTTCACTCATTAGAGTTTTTATAAATACGTTATTCTTAATACAACTATTATTAGTTTCTAACTAATAAATCTATTGTTAAAGTGGAAGAGAATCAAAAACTGTTTATCATTAACATTTTGCATCAGTGCGTCATAGCTTCACATAATTATATAGGACACTCATAAAGTCCATCATTATTTATAGAAGTGAGAATAAGGTCAAGCCTTAGAATCATCATTTCATTCAAATTATATTAAAGATATGAAAATGTTTAAATATGATATTATTAAGACATTACAACGTTACTAAATGCACCAAAAAACCAATAGATAATGAAGAATAATACTCACCCAGCATGCAGCCGTGTACACTCATCTACATCTGTATAACGAGCATCTGATAAAATTTTTCGCATAAGTGGAGTACAAATACGTTGACCTATTACTAGTTTTTCTTCTTTTGTTATACCATATTCCTAAGGATAAGGAAAGCAGAAAGTATAAACATTTTTTCTGGAATGTGACAAACGGTAGAAGACAAACACAAAAATGGCATTGAATAAGGTAACATCAAGAGTACTTATCACAGCAGTCTCATCAGAATGACTATGTAATTAAGACGATAACAGTGATAGTCATAAAACACAATTAATTCATATTAGTTTGGTCAAAAATTTCAAATTTCAAAGAATTGGTATGAAGTCCGCTTTCGTACGAAACACGATAAATTATTTCTAACAACGAAAATAAACTTTTGTCATTTATTCTATTGAGACGACATCTAAACCTCGATTGTGGACGAACACATTGTGCAACAGTCCGCTCTATGATACTCAAAAATTATGGGATTAAGTCATTGATGATAGACTATATAAGAATAACTGTAACTGAACATAAGTCATCAGAACATATCATATGTGTGATCAAATTGACGAGTGAACAATATTTCCTTATCTGCTCATGGTCTTTTTAATTTACAGTTTATCAAAAGTTCTCTTTATTGCTAACAGTATTTTTTGCCTTATCAAGAACTGGAACAACCTAAGCAAATGCGCTTATTCTTGATGCTCTATATTATAAGGCTTTTCTGTTTAGACAAAGTGACATATTATAGCCTATAGTTCATTTAGAAATTACATTTCTAGAAAAACAAAGAAGGGAATGAAATCAATATGAAACACTGATGTTTCCGCATGGTTCAACTAATAACAGTCAAAAAAGATAATATTAAAACTGTTTAATGCAAATGATTATGGTTATTGACAAATTTCGTCAATCTCAGCAGTGAATGAGACTTAGAGATACGTTGTTTGTACTTGCTTTATCCTTTATAAGAAGATTTGAAGAAATCGCTATCAAAGTGAGAATTGTTGTTTGGTGCAGTAAAAAGCATTAACTTTATTCTGTTCGCAGTCTCACACCTAGGGATTAAGTGACAATGGTTTTTGACTGAGAATGATATCCCAAAACAAATTATATTTACAAATTCGAATGTCAGCTAAACGATACATTTTATTGAAATATTACGAAAAATATCTTTTTCCCAACAAGCATCGGTAGATGAGAGTTTTAACATTTTATCAAACATAAGTTAGTACAGTTATTCAGCAGAACGTAAAATTCATGGAAGGAGAAACACCAATGGATCAACAGTAAATACATAACTGCAGTTCTTGATTTATTTTACTGAGGTCCTACTAAATACGATTTCTTTTTGATCTTACGTTTATTTACTATCATTTCTTCTTTCATATATACAAAATTAAATACAAGTCTGTAAAAGCTGGAAGGAAATTTAAAGTAATTTGTAATCAAATTATAGCCGCTACATAATATAAACTTGAACTTAAATTACATCACTAGTTTTATCATTATAATCGCTATAAGCATGTCAAATTACCTGTGGGACAATAATGTCAGCTAGCGACTTTGCACACATGAAGAAATCTTGCACCTCGGATTCTAGTAAAATGCCAGAATTATGTTGCAAGTCATATTTTATGTTGTCATATATATCTGAAATTTTAGAAAGATCATATTCTCCTTCAGGAGATCGAAAATCTTTTAATAGCTTTCCCCAACGTCTGAGCAGTAGGTCCCAACTTTCACCTTGATACAAGTGTATTCGACTGCGTTCTTTGGAACTTCGTGAGAGCCAAGCAAGACGGTTAGATAACAGACGAACATGTTCAAACAGGCGACCACATGCTCTATACGGGCTTTTAACATACTGCATAGCATTAATTATAGAACGTGCGCCGGTAGGAACAAGAGTAGCAATATCTTCAGCGGTGAAATCACTGTTTTTTGACATAACTTCATTGATTCGACGTTTAACCATCTGTTGATAGTGACGACAATCGTTATCATTATCTAAAAGACCGTTCGTATTAGCTGACTTGACCATCTGAACAAGGATTGGTGGTAATTCTCCTTCTAGTGCCAAGAAACCTTTAGCAAAAGCTGCAGCTGTCATTTGGACCCGACCCTCGTCAGAAGCATATATCTTCAAATCATGACGATAAGTACTGTGCAAACGTAATAATCCAAGACCAGGATCTTTACCATAGTGGCCATCTCCACCTGGGTAAATGCAACGAAAAGCTTTTCCTAGAGTTTCTGCTTGTTGCTTGCCTGCGGCTGTTAATTCTCCACCCCATTTCACGACAACTAATAGGCAAGGTTGGGTGTTGTCACATTCGTCAGTACAGTCACAAGATATTGGAATACTACCTGAAAAAAGACCATTCAAAGTCCAAGGATTTTGGAAATTTGTTTTACTTCTGACAAATGATCAATATATGAGATTGTTCATTTGCATGGCAATGAAAATGATTTCATGTACTACATAATGGTCACCACGATATGATCTTGTTTCTCAACAGTAAGCATAGTTACTTTTCCCAATAACCCACTTTTAACAGACACGGTAGATATGAGTACTTTGACTCACATTCACGGTTCTATTGAAATGCTGTCGTAAACTAATTACATCAGTAATGGACTTCTTTTAAACCAAATATATGTGAAGTCCAATCCACCAAAACCATTTCTGCACAATGACATAACCCTAACTATATTACTCACTGAAAAGATATTTAGCTTATATAAATAACTAGATGAATCTCTAGAACATTTAAAGTGAACACAGAAATTTACAGAAAACCAAAAGTGGTCACTTTAGTATACTCATTGTATTGCGCAGAAGAAAAGGTTAGTCATTTGTATCGATTTCTAGACCTTATGCCTACATTAGTTAATTAGTTAAATAGATAAGAAAAGAAACGATGTATGAATAAAACAAAAATAGTAATTCTAAATTCAAAAGATTTTAAATATCAGGCAACAAATTAAATCCAAATTATGGTTACTAACCGTTCAAGCGGGTCGTGTTATCGCATCACGAAAGTAATATCTATAGTCTCGATCAACAGTTCTAAAAGTATTTTATTACACTAGTGTTAACTTTGACGATCGTCGTTCTCCACCTATATGTGTCTGAAGAAAATGTAACCTAGCCGAGATAATTTGGTAGAAAAGGGTGTTTTCCAAGCATTGGTTGCTAATCGTGGAACGACTAAGTGAGAAATCTTGAGGTTAGGCAAACCAGTTTATGAGGTTGCGGATATCCAACTGAAGTGGTTGGGATATATGTAGCTCAGCTGATACAATGCCCAAACATTAGGCATAACAGTCAGGTATATATTGATTGAAGAATAAGTGACCAATAGGCTTATTTCGTCCAACCCCCTACGACATTTTGCCATGTTTGTTCTGTGTTCATATTCAGTATGTAAGTCGTTTTATTGCATGAGAAACTATTCATCTTGGTTATTGGTCTTGCATTGGATTTCCAATCATTTGGTGGGTTAATTCAATACTACGGTCTCGAAGGTAACCATCACTAGGCGACATTATATCATTACGCTCATCAATCGATTAGCATTCCGTCTACTGATTTTAACAATCCAGAATTTCATCTCATCAAATCACGGAAAACCATCTAAATTAAACCAAACATCGCTTTCCTCGACGCACAAGATTTCCCCGAGTAGGAATAAACTGAAAAAACTAGAATTGGATAAAGCAAGACAAAGCCTTTGGGATTATCATGATTGATGATTAAAGATACTGGAAAACACTTGCTCGAAATTGGTCACAATGGTGGGGATGCATCCGTTCTTCAAATTTTGAGATGGAAAATTAATTATTACGTCTTACTCCGTGAATCAAATTCTTCTTTCTGGATCACCTTATTTATAGTCAGTCAATTCTACTATAATTGATTTTACTACTTTCAGTATTTTGGTATTCATCTTGATAATTTCATCTCGCTGTCCTAATATGACATCTTAATTTGGATATGTTCTATGTTGATTTCGACTGACTGTCTAACCAAATTTGATACTTTAGATCGCTAACAGGTTTAAGACTATCACATGGAAAAGGCATGAACACTTCATAAATAAAAATTTTTGATAAAGTTTCATTTGGAATAAAAAGAAAAAATGAGAATAGAGTGCTGAATATCATGAATAACAGTTTTTTGTGAAATATTTTGAACAGAGCTGCTTAGTTTCGTTGAACGCGGATACCGATATTTTTTAAAAGTTGAATAGTGGCTAGTAACGCAATCAAGAATGCACGTTACGTCATACTTTTGACTCACTAGCTGGATGTACTTAAATCCTAATGTTGAAGCTGACTATCAAACCTTACTAAAAAAATTGAGACTATGTAGCAATATCGAGATGTACTAGTTTCGCCAAATTTAGAGATATTAACGGTTGCTCAAACTAGTACGTGTTACGTAAGCTTTAAATGCATACAAAAAAGCTGAAACTTGGATGTTTTAACTCAATAAACACCAATACGGACTGATTTGAAAATATGCAGTGTATACACACGATTGCGAAACAAAGTTCACATTTTAATGAAGAGGTATGCAAGAAAACCAACATAAAAGCTCACTTGAATAACCAATCTTTGATTCTTTACCAATTCCATGTGGTTGATATTTTAACTGAATTTTACGGTTAATTCCACTAAATGACCCATACATTTCTAAGACATATCTAGTAATAGAGTAAAGGAAAATATGAAATCAGAAATCACTTAATACTTATAATAAGCGAGAAGTAGTGACTAAAATTTAATGATAAATTAAACTATCTACTTTTCACTAACCAAGTGAGAATCCTTTTTATAGGCAATAGTAACCATAACATACAATCACTTCCACAAGATCTAGAAATATGCTGTTCGTCTAAAAATTTCATGACATGATTCTATTTCGTTTTATGAAGAACAATTAAATTGTGACTTAAATATATTTGACCACCGAACACAATTATTTCCTGGACCAAAACCAAGAGTTAGTAAATTCATGGGTTTGGTCATTCTGAAGACTATTCAACTCAAGCACTCCAGTCAATAAATAGTTACAACCATGTTGACTTATTCATTATCCCTAGCCAGTACTTTTAGCTTGAAATCATATAACTGTAGTTTGATCATATCTTCATAGCGTTCCGAAAAAATCTTTAAATTCTTGAGACCTGTCTATCCATATCATCATACACGGCAACTTTCTATATTCGTGTAGTGAAATGGAATAAATGGTTTAACAAACAGCTTGATATTTATTGGAAATTTCAAAGTTTACCGATCTACAGGTGAAGTAATTTATTAAAAGCTGGGCAAGCTTGATGTATACACATTACGATTTTCTCGATCATCAGTTAATGTAGCCTAATACGACTGATTATGAAAGAATGATCGGGATATTAAACCAGTTTAATAAGTGTTTAAGATATTAATTAAAACAAACTGATCCTAAAGAGACAATGGATTTCGGTAAGTGATAAAAATAGTATTAATAAAATCTTGTTGTCAGAGTCGATACATTCCCGTTGTTTATATTATTAACAGTAATTCATAATTTGGGAACTATATGGACTCACCAATTTAGTCAGTAACTCGTCGGCATAGGTACTAGACTCGAGCTTCAGTGTCAACATCACGAATGGAGGTACATACACTCTATGAGTTCCAATTAAGACAAAACATGCGTCGTAGTTTCCACCGCAAAAGACAATCCAAAAACACCAAAAGCACTCATATTGTTAAAACATTGTATCCTATGCTAAATTTATACAAGGTTTTGACATAAATTATTGTACCCTAAAATATGTAAAAATATTCATACTTGTACTACGACATACTATGTCGTAGGACAGTAATATTTTGGGGAACGTTTGTCGACAAAAGTAATGTACTTCTTTCAGAAAATATGAACTCACTTTAGTTGCTCAAACTTTGGCTTTATTCGAAGAAGACAATTATCAGTACACTGGCCAGAATCAATTTCTTCCAAAATGGATCGCACAATATCTAAAATTTCTTGCAACTGGGTAGGACGTTTGATTTTTAATTCACGAGCCCAACCACCTGCGTACTTAGTGAAAAATGAGAAAAATTTCTGATGGCAAACTTCCATTTTCATTTTCTGTTTTGGCGTCCTGTCACCATGACGAATGACAGCGATTACACAACGAAGTTCCATAATTGCTCCACAAGTTGTTGGTACCAGCGGAGTATCTACATCCGTACCTGGAGGCAAGTTGGTCGGCAAACACAATCGTGGTGCTATTTTTCGAGTAATTAACACACCAAGAATGTGACTACAGTCATCATAGTACTTTTTGGAAGACTTTACAAAAGAAAATCCATTTACGTCACAAACATAAGACATTCCATTAGCCCGAAGAAGATCGAATCCACAGATTTGCTGCCGAACAGCTTTTGCTACTTTCTTGGCAATGATTTTCTCTCTAGGTGTTAGTATGACAGGATAGCGAACTTCTTTACCTTCGTGATCTCGTTCTACCTTCCCATCTAAGGCAGGAGATTTTCGAGCCTCTGCATGAGCATAATCATCTGCGACCGTGTAAACCTAAGTGGGTTATAATAAAAAAGTTATCATGGAGTTAATTTTAAAATTCCTTTGTATTATATAACAATTATATTAGCACCACATCTAAACTAACTAAATTTCAGATCTAGTGACTATCAAATAAGAACGAACTTTAGAATCCATATAATTTTACATGATGAAATTTAATATAAAAGCAGCGAAAGACTAAAATGCTGCTTACAACATATAAGGCTATTCCTAGTCGACTGTGTCCTGATTTTAGTACCGAAAGCGCCATTCATAGCACAAATGATTAGGTTTGAATAATAAAAGCTTTCTAATTTTCATTGGCTATGAGAGACCAGAAAAGTCAAATAATTAAACTGTTAAATATATAATACTTAGAAATTAAGAAATGAGACACTCGGTAGCTTCTTTAAAATAAGAACTTAGAATGAGGCTTCACATTAACTGGGAAAGGTTTCACAAGTAATCACAGTAACGATGTCGGTAAATTGAAAATAAATGTTATGAACGTACACGGAAGAAGACTCTTCAATTAAGGGAAATAATTGAAATAAAATGATGATTAGACCTAGTGACTTGGAGTAATAGTCAGAATGGGGAAAAAATCAATTACTTTCCTCATTTTTATTACCAAGGCAACTGCAAGTTATCATATAACATACCCTAAACTTTAAAGTTTGGTTTTAACTCTCAGACTAGCATAGGGTCTGAAAATTCACGGAATCCAAAACTTCAACAGTTGAGATCATGAGTCAATTGAAGCTAGACCACCATGGAAAACCTGGAAGCACTGGACGGCCGTTTTATCCTATTGTGGGACTCCTTAGCAGTGCGCACCCACGACCCCACCACGCGGGATTCAAACTCAGGACTTGTTAGTCTCGCGCCAGGCGCTTAACCAACTAGGCCACTGAGCCGGCATCCAACGGTTTTAATGTCTAACTTCATGAAGTTTAAATAATCTCTATTAGACACACAAACTGACGGTCTAGATACCCCACATCATACATAAAGTTCATCGTACCTTTACATCTGTACCATCCGTTGGCATAAATTCCTCATACATATAAGATCCATTTGTTCGAATATTACTGTGTGGAAAGTACTTGCTGCTGCGATTTCCAACTTTTCGAAAGAGACGCTGACTGCCTCCTCCAGCGCTGCTAGGGAAGTAGATGTAGATATTATGATCTTCAGCATGCAAAGGTTTTTCTACGAATGGTTTGTGAAAAACCTCACCATTAATCTGAAATAAAAATTTATACTTTATTCAAGAGGTACCTCGGAAAATTGAAGACAAATCTAGGCTAGACAAACTTATTAGTGTGATAATAATCTGGCAAAGATACATTTAAGGACGGTAGACAATTGTTTGTACAAAAATATTGACTTATAAAATTGCCAAAGTTCAAGTAGTGGAACTAGGTCATTACATTATATTGTTTTAATCGTATCAACTTACTCAAAATTTTCACATAAAATAGGTTTTTAAATGACCAAAAAAACTTGACAAGATCAATTAAAACTTTTCAATGTCATAAAATTTCGTCCTACTGACAGCCCACATAAAATATTCAGTAACTATCTACTAAAAATCTAATAAAGGAATACCAGAGTAATGAAAAACACTTTACTCAACAAAAAATAAAAGATGCTTTGTTAACACAGTAGACAGAACAAAAAGTGAACACGATGAATATATTCGTATCATTTCTTAATATTTTACAAGCAAATTTATGAGGTGATTCTTTTCATCCAATTACTTCACACTAAGCTAAACTGACCAAAGCATTTTGTCACAATTTTGCTATGCGACTGCGCTCAACACAGAAAAGTAACTAATTTGAAAACACTGTGACGGAAAACGAGAATAAACGCAGTTCCATAACGTGTGCTAAGTTAAGCGTTGGTTTATCGTTGTTTACCCCACCACTGAAAAAGCAAAAAGCTGATTACATGCAATTCATCTTTAGATCAAGTAAAACACAAGGGTTCGCTAGGTTGCAAGATTTCTAGAAGCTTATTCATGGTCGGACGGAATAAACATGAGCACGAATCGCCAAAAATATCTCCAATCTTTAGCTTATATATATATATATATATATATATATATATATATATATATATATATATATATATATAGTGTCCCAATTATGCATGCTAGTAAGATGCAACGCTAGGTACACATTTTAAGGGAATATAAATAAAATATATTAAAGAAACTAGATATAATGTCGTACGACAATTTTATAAAACCTCATCTAAAACATTTTTTCAAGTAGAACTAATCAATACTACCAGGACTTTTAAGCGTTACCTTTCTGATTTCCTCAGGTTATGAAAACCGGGCTAACTAGAACTATATGACAGGTTATTATGTGTAAGCATGGAGCGAAACTAGCCTTCAATAATAAAATTGGTTGACTACATCCAATTAATGTTCGTTCTGCTCACGAAAGTTAAACACGTACAGAGAAATTATGTTTATGAATATATATATGACCGATCGAGATTTTACGTTAATATTTTAATTATATTCATAATTTTATTCAAGCTGAAGTTTGATGAGTTTAAATTTCTTCTCAGATATGTTAGGAAAGGTTAGAAAACCTTTAACAGCCTGGAAACAACATGCTAATCATGGAAATTCTAAAGCCAACTTCATGATACATAACATGCAAAATAAAGTGGCAAGAAGTTAATCTCCAGTTTAAGGTGGTGCGTGTTGATGTCTTTGAGATAGGATTGATTAATTAAAGGCTATGGATGGGTTTAATAGAAACCGTCAGAAAGCTTCAAAATCTGATTCCAAGACCCCGGCTAACCCTGTTTCTTTACACATGGTCTACTACGTCATAACAAGTAAAAAACATAGTTACACGCCAGTCGAATTTCCGGTGGGACTACGATTTATGGACGACCTTTGAGTAACGCTCAAGTGACCTAAGAATGTTCAACAACACAAACCGATAATAAGCTATAGTGCCGAAGTGATATTTAACTAAATGGTTGAATGAATTTCGGGCCAAAATTCAAGACATGCTAACTTAGATTTGACTAGCTCGTCCATAAATAATAGTCCCGTAGAATTTTCTTAGGTTTACAATTGAAAGTGCTGAGGTTTATCTCAATTCACAAATCTATCTACTAACTGAAATTCTTGTATTCCAGAATAAATAGTCTTACCCGCACTACAATTTTAAGAAGTGCTACTCAATACTGTATACCTAAAAATTAAGCCCAACGGAAGTTAGCTAATAAAGTATACCTCGGGTCTTTAGAAAAAATCACTAACCTCAATTGAATCGTCAAGCTCAACAACTTTCACTGGGTTTTCTGATGTTCTATCAACAAATGCGTATCTCGGAACTGGAACACCTTCTCTCGTCAAGCACTCATAAACCCTTCTTCTATCCATTAAAATGTATTGGGACTCAAGATCATTGACAAGGTAAGGCTTCCGCAGCTTCGAATAAGCAATAGCTTTTTTGAGAGGAAATCCTTCAGAATAAAAACTGACCAGTGCATCACAGATGGGCCATGACTCTATTGGTGAATCTAATATCATTTTCTCGTCAAATATTATTATCTTAATGTGCTGAAACTTGTCCATTCTTCTCAAAATTTCCTTCATTGGTTTTGACATCGCTTTCTTTGCCATTGCACAAACTCCTATTGTGACTACTACATCACTGTCATCCGTCCTTTCGCCCATATTTCAGTCACATAACCGTAAGTAGCGCCTTAAAAGTACATTTTAGGCACCTGAACGTAAAATTGACGTATCTAAACATACAGACATCTAAATAGAAAAATCTGAATCTGCCGAAATAGAAATAATCTGTGTATTAAAAAAAGTAAGAGATCAATATCACATGAAATGCTGTTTCGAATTATGTTAAATTATCTCTGAATTGTGTAATCCTATTGAGCCATACAACAATATTCCGGATATTGGAGAAGAATGTCTGTAGTGCAAAGACAAATGTCTGTACTTCTAACCTTTGAAAATCTGTGTCGGCACCAAACTAGTAAGTAAAGGTTTATTACATAATACTCTTGTTTCCGACAAAGAGGCAACATCTCAGTATTACGAGGAAGCAGTAGCACCGCATAAGGGAAAAAGTACGATTATGGTTAGTCCTAGGTATTTTCACATTACTTTATAATTATATGCGCCATGAAGACGCTCACTTCATCGGATCATACAAACCCCCTCATACACACTTTGGACACTGATCTGCTAAATAACCTTGCTGTGAATGGATCCGTGGGACATGACATGACACCTAGTATATACTTTGAACTTACTGTGTGAGAAAGTTATACTGGAACTACGAATGTTGTAGGAATCCAGTTTCCCAGGGCGTATGAAGCACTCAAACTAAAATACAGTTATCCAAAAATAATTCGAGTATGAAGGTGAAAATTTTCATGTACTTTACATCGCAAGGGTGAAGATAATATGTACCGGTTGACATCATACCGTAAAACAACACAAATTTACGGGTGATGAAATATGATCTATGAAAAAGTGAACTTAATATCAGTCAATTACCACTTTAATCCCTGATCATAACCCTCCGGCTTCCTTTTATGACCAAAACAGAAAACATACACTACACACTGATAGCATATTTCCGGCTTTTCAATGTTAGGCTTGTTTTCACGCACGACGTAATCAGTACAACCTCTGTATTACGTTATATGGTATATCTTTAATAACAAACCCTCTACATTATATTGGTAGCATCTGTGACTTCGTCCATGGTTGTCCGAAGTCTGGGTCCTTTTGAAAATAATACTAATATCCCCCTACTGCTGAGCACCTAGTATTAGTTTGACTCGTTGATGGGATATGTTGTCCATAATACTGAAGAAAGTTAAAAACCGATGATCGTTTTCTTTCATTTCGCCGATAACAAAACCGATTATCATTTTAAAACATAAGACTGATGAGCTTGCCTGAAGAAATACACTGACTCCAGTAGCAGCAGCAAAAACACGGAAAACAAAGCTAAATCAGAAAATATTTGCTACAAAATTTACGGTATTACATTAATTTCTGCATTTTAGCACATTGAAGCATTAAATTATGTAGGTAAACAAAAGAAATAGCGGAAAAAGCACAGAACAAAGAAAACCGGCTGCCATTGCTTACAAAGATGGCAGGTATAATAATTGCCGCTTCATTCTGATTGGTCACTAAACAGTTTGCCACGTTTACGAAATCCAGTTGCGTTTAACTGTAGACGGGCCCTGGGGTAAGCCAGGGGCTTTCGCACACATGTTACATATTGTCATGGATTTTTTGTGTCGTTATTTATCATCTATAAACAGCCTTTTTTCTATCACACGTCAAGTTTCGTAATGTTTGTAATTGTCAAGTAGTTTTTATTCCAATTTATTAGCAGTTTGACTTGTTTGTTACTCACCACCTAATTGAGTTTTTTATAAGCCTATTATGGCTATTTGTAGCAATAAAAGCTCAAGCAAGTAAAATTCACCATTTTTCAAGTCAAAAAATAGATCACAAATTGAGTTTTCGGGAAAATAAGCTTTAAAACCTATAACATTTTGTTCACTTCCTTGATTATGGTGATGATGAACATGGATGTTGGCAGTTGTTCATAAAATATAGGTAGAAGCAATTAAGCGTTAATCTATTTATGAATATTAAATAACGTGCTAATATTTAGCCATAAACATTTTTATCCATTATAAGTATCACCGTTTTGTACTGAAGTGACATATTATTATGTTGCGCATCTGAGAAGAACTATGTGAGTAACAGTTGACGTTGATACTCTTTTCCACCCGCTTTCCGAACGTATAAAGGAACAGTGTATAACACCACTGGAAGTGCCACATTAAGTAGTCACAAAGTCCTCATAAGTAAAACGATGCATGTTTCTTCTGAGCTTGGTGACGGAACAATGTCGTAGTTAATACTGATTTATGATGTGTCTGTTATAGGGCTAACAAATAAGTTCCTGTAAACAGAATCCGTAATCACTGACCAAATTATGAACAAAGTTATAATGCATATTGTCGAGTAATATCAAATAATGCCTACCAATTTTTTTGTCAATACTAAATGTCTAGGTGAAATACTAGAAGGGTTAGAAAATGAAGAGCGCTGTTTACATGAAGTAAGAAACTTACAGGTTATTTGTAACCTGTTAATGAAGTCAGAAATATACTGAAACCAGAGTTTTAAGGCAATATGAGCCGTGAAACCATTAACATTGCATTTACATCATAAACTTGGTATGAACAAATGTCATAGGACTGTAAAGCGTTCACAGTTATGTGATGGGGATTTGAAGCTCCCAGTTCTTGTTACAACACAACCCTAGAATCAAATAACAACTGTTAATGAGTTAATTCTTGAATTCCTACTCCATTACGGACTGACTCGTCCAAAGTACTTACTTACTTATTTACTTACGCCTGTTACTCCCGATGGAGCATAGGCCGCCGAACAGCATTCTCCGACCCACTGTGTCCCGAGCCTTTCTTTCTAGTTCATTCTTCTCATGTTTGTCTTCATTACTCAGCGTAATGAGTTCTTTGGTCTTCCTCTTTTCCTTTGGCCTTGAGGATTCCTTGTGAGGGCTTGCCTTGTGATGCAATTCAGTGCTTTCCTCAACGTGTGTTCTATCCACTTCCAGCGCTTCTTCCTGATTTCTTCCTCCGCTATGATCTGGTTTGTTCTCTCCCACAGTACGTTGTTGCTAATAGTAACGGGCCAACGGATCTGAAGTATTTTGCGTAGACAACTGTCAATAAACACCTGTATCTTCTGGATGATGACTTTCGTAGTTCTCCAAGTTTCTGCACCATACAGTAGAACTGTCTCGACATTTGTATTGAAAATCCCGACCTTGGTGTTGGTTGACAGTTGCTTTGAGTTCCAGATATTCCTCAGTTGTAAATATGCTGCTCTTGCTTGGCCGATCCATGCCTTCACATCTGCATCAGATCCACCCTGTTCATCAATGATGCTGCCCAGATTTGTAAAGGTTTTCACATCTTCCAAATCTCCCCTGTCAATTGTGACAGGATTGGTGCATGCTGTGTTGTATCGGAGAATCTTGCTTTTCCCTTTGTGTATATTGAGACCTACTGCTGTTGAGGCTGCTGTCACACTGTTCGTCTTCTCCTGCATCTGTTGTTGCGTTTGGGATAGAAGGGCCAGATCGTCTGTGAAGTCTAGATCGTCCAACTGCATCCTAGATGTCCATTGTATCCCGTGCTCCCCTTCAGATTTTGACGTCTTCATGATCCAGTCGATCACCAGGAGAAAGAGAAAGGGTGAGAGTAAGCAACCGTGCCTGACACCGGTCTTTACTTCGAACGACTTTGTCAACTGTCCTCCATGCACGACTTTGCAGTTTAATCCATCATATGAATTCTATATGATATTGAGTATCTTCTGAGGCACGCCGTGGTATCGAAGAGGCTTTTATAGTGTTGTCCTGTCCACGCTAACAAATGCTATCTTGTAGTCAGTGAAGTTGATGTAGAGTGATAAATTCCATTCAAATAATTGCTCCACAATTATCCGTAGTAATGTGATTTGGTCTGTACACGATCTATCCTTACGAAATCCAGACTGTCGTCTCGAAGTTGGGTGTCTGTGGAGTCCTTCACCCTGTTTAACAGTACTCTGTTGAAGAGTTATGCCCCTGTAGTTATCACACTTGCTGAGATCGTCTTTCTTCGGTTTTTTGATCAGAAGTCCTTCTTTCCAATCTGTTAGTACTTGTTCCTCACCCCAAATCTTGCTGAAGAGAATGTGGAATATCCTTGCAGTTGCCACTACGTCTGCTTTCAGTGAATCTGCAGGAATGTTGTCTGGTTCTGCAACTTTGCCACTCTTGATTTGTCTGATGGCCATGCTGATTTCTTCAATTGTTGGTGGGCCAACATTGATTGTGGGGTCCGTGGGTGCTGCTTTTATATTGGGTGGGTTCAGTGGAGCTGGTCGATTCAAGAGATCTTTGAAGTGTTCTACCCACTTGTTTTGTTGCTCTTCAATGTTGGTGATTACCTCGCCTTCCGTGCTTTTCACCGGTCTCTCCGGTTTACGGTGATTTCCAGAGAGTTTCTTTGTCGTGCCATACAGTTGTCTCATGTTCCCTTCTCTTGCAGCCTTTTCCGCCGTCAATGCTAAATCTTCCACATATTTACGTTTGTCGGTTCTGATGCTCCTCTTCACTTGTTTGTTTAATTCTGTGTATTCAGCTTGTGCCATGGTTTTTCTGCTCTTGTTCGGCTGGTATTGTTCGCTGCCTTCTTGTTCCTCCTTTCTTGAATCTTATCCAGTGTATCAACAGTGATCCATTCCTTGTGATGGTGCTTCATGTGGCCCAGAACCTCATGGGATGTTGAAGTGATTGCCTCTTTGATCCCCTTCCAGTTGCTCTCCATAGTAGTTCTTTCTCCATTGAGTAGATCACGAAAGGCCTGATACTTATTGCTGAAGGCCGAGTTAGCCAGTATCCTGAAGAAAAGCTATGTTAAACGTTTGTGATATTTTCCGACCCGTTGTGCGATGCTTCTTGAGTTTCAATTTCGTCTTGGCAGCCGGCAAGTGATGCTCTGATGCTATATCAGCTCCTCTCTTGGTTCTCGCGTTCGCCATCGTCCTCCTGAACTTTTTGTTGACGCAGATATGGTCGATCTGGTTTTGCGTAGTGCGATCCGGTT